CTGAATGGGCGTTACATTTTAACTACAGTGCTAAGTCTGAGATCTGCACTCGCCAGGAATTCGGCAATTGCAAATTTGGGACTTTTGATTTTAGATCATCAGTTTAGTTTTGTTTTGGTTTAATTGATTATGGTAAAGCACACTAGAGCTATGTGCTTAAGAGGAGGGATGCCTTCGTGGAGGGCTTTCTAAGGAAAACTGCTCGTATACACTTTGTACATGGGAGAAACCACGAAAATGCCCATGCCGCCAGCCCGTTCGTCTGGAATCGAACCGAAGTTGGAATTACCAGTATTCAGCGATTTTACGTCTCGGCTGCTAGTGGGCAGATATCAGTTTAAATACAGTAAACTGACATGCAAAAATTATAAAATTAAGAATCTGAAGAAGTTGTTTGTGAAGTAATGAAGTATTTATGACCTTCAAAGACTAAAAATCTAACCCCCAATATTTATTTCTTTGCATTATCAACCATTACTTTCAACGTCAGTTGTTTTAAGTTGAAATATTTTCTGTTTAAGTTTACACATAGACCTAATTTCTTAATTAATTACAATGTTCGAGTCCCGCAATAAGCGTGTCGAGAATTCCTACTAAATTTTCAATAGAAAAATTGTGTCGTTTTTAGTAACCTTCTCTGTCACTTTCTTCACTATCTATAGCAAAATTTTCTGATTTTTGAACCATACTGAGATTTCGTAGTTCAGTAATTCAGAGGTCTCAGGCTGACGGCACGCGGCTCCCAAAGCAATTTTATGCACACTGCGAAGACTTTCCAATGGTGAATTTGTTGTAAGTGCTGCAAATATTACAAGACTTTAATTTTTGAAGTCCGTGTTTACATTATTTTCATTCCCATTAAAAACTAACCTGGATAACGCATCAGAAAATCGATGAACATACGTAATTAATTTACAATGTAATATAAATCTTGTTCACAGATTTGAAAATATACATTTCATTAATTTTTTTTCGTATTTGTCACAAGATAAATAAGGTCAGTTACGACTTTTCCACTAAAAGAATAATCTCTTTGTTCGGAAATGTATTTATATGTGAACTGCATTTTTTTTTTTACAGTTGAAGATTAATTAGAAAAGAGCTATTGACCAATGAATGTCTACATTCCATGATAATTTCTAATAATTTCTCTCAAAGGCTACAAGCTTCTTCAAAATCGAAACGCCATCAAGCTGTAGTAAGGAATAAATAAAATTTATAAGTATTTACATATATACGCATATTTATTTTTATTTAGGCAATGAAGAAAAATTTTATTATTTGTGTTGCATCTTATACGTATGTTAATCAAGAAATTTTTTTATTCAAGATTTTATGTTACTATTTCATTTTTTAAACTATTTTGTAAAAATTTTTACTTTATCGTATGATTCTACGGACTTTTGAACTTTTTACGACCTATCTAGCTACTGCATACTTCTGAAGGACTTTGACTCTTATGCCATTCACAGCTTCAAACTGGCTTCGCGCCATTTTCATGATGTCTCACTATTGCTTATCCTGCACTCTTACTAGCTATATTGCACTCACCACCTGCATTTGCCATACAACTCAATGAACCTGCCTGCATGCTTCAATTTAATGCCATTGCTTACCACTGCACAATTTTTATGATGAATGCCTACTTTCGTAAGTATTAAGATATGCCTGCTTAAGCAGCTGAATTTTCTTCGCCCACGAACCATTTTATTTGAAAATATCTTTGCCTAGTGCACTTTAATGCGATCTACTGGCGAAAACTCTTTAGTAGTTAATGACCAGAAAAAAGTAAGTCATAAGTCATAAATAAATAAGAGAAAGAGATTAAGTTGTCAATGTTGTAATTATTTATTCTTAAGATTTGTGCTATATAGAAATTTTTCTCTGAAAAGGTAAATTTTTCATAATTTCTTTGGGTTTAAATTAAAGTAAATTATTTAATGATTAATTAAACATTTTAAAACTATTTTAAATAAACGGCAGTCTGAAAATTTAATATTTACTCTTAAGGTATTTGAACTACAAAGTGTAAACAACAAAAGAGTCTTGCAGATATCGAATTTAAGATTTCACATGGAAAATAAATATGTTTGAATTTTTTCCTTTTGCGATATTATTATTGTTTATGTATGTTTTGAAAAATGCTTAGTGAGCGAAATTTTGAATTAATTAACTTTTATTTTGTTAGTAATTTTTTAAAATTTTATTAAACAAATTATGGTTCTGTCATCTGTTAAAAAACTTCGAATGCGGCCCGGGAACAAATTGAATTTGAGACCACTACGTTAGTTGGTTAATTATCGGGGCATTGTCATGGCAATGGAATAACTACTGGTATAATCATCTTCGTTTGTTTACCACCTCTCTCCATTTCTTGAAAAATTTCATTAACTGGAAACTTTCATTCACTCCTCCTCCGATGTCCCAAAACTTCCGTGGCTATTAATCATAAATAGGGCTTAATTTCTAAAATTAGAAGTACCGCATCCCTATAGAAGACCACCAGGAAAGTAGAATTTAATAAAACGTAAAGTGATAAATACGAATTCAATAAATTATAAACTAATATTAAGTAATTAAACAACAAGATCAATTACTAATTCAGAAGTCAAACAACAAAAATCAGCGTTATATTTACAAAATTTTCACAGGACTAGTTTCGATGGTTTTACCGAACCACCATCCTCAGCTGCAAAACCGCCATTTTTCATTTGTGGTTTTGCAGCTTAGGATGGTGGTTCTGTAAAACCATCGAAACTAGCGGTTTTGCAGCTGAGGATGGTGGTTCTGTAAAACCATCGAAACTAGTCCTGTGAAAATTTTGTAAATATAACGCTGATTTTTGTTGTTTGACTTCTGAATTAGTATTCATTCGGCGTGTTATTGTGTCTTAACAAGATCAATTGTTGATCTTCTTTTTATTTTGGTTTTCGGTTGGAAGTACAGTTTCACTTAAAAACTAACAAAGAGCTCAACCTGGCTCAGTCTGAATTTGAGCCCTAGATATACAGTAAAATGTGACCGAAGAGATAGAAAGAAGGACAATTTTTTTTTCAGCTTACCAATGAAAAAAAGTTAAAGTGGTTAAATTGTCTTTAATGAAAATACAAAGAACACTCGAATGAGGGGATAAAGGAAATTTTCGCGGGGGATGTGTTAGGAATGAAAACAAAGGAAGAATAGTTCAACACATTATAAACATGACCCCCTGCCATTATAAATCTATCTGTCAAGCAGAAAGTGACAAGGGAGAAAATTTTCCTCGTGCTTTTGTAAGCGGGAAAACACCATAGCTGGAATAAAAAATTTACTCTCTATCATAAATTAATAGAACTTCCTGGGAAAAAAGATTTTGACCTTTCTCCCCTCTAAAAGTCTCTATATCCGTCCAAGGGTTTCTTTCCTACTTAAAGAAAAGCATAAATTTAGGAGTTAGAATCGATTTTTTAATTTAATTTTATTATTAAAATAAAATCTGCTAGATCAAAAGAATTTTCTGCTGAAATTGTGATTCAGTTAAATAAAAGAAATGCCAGAACCCCTTTATTAGGGCTCCGATACGCGCCGGCTACAATTACGATTTATCTAAAAAATTACCGAAGCCGAGCTCCGGTGGGCTCCGGCGCAATTTAAGTTCTTATCATTAAAGCTTAGCGAGCGGTGATGTATCATGTGAATGACGACTAAAGACATGTTGTTCCACTAAAATTATCACATCCACTTTCCGTAAGGGCTGCACGTCCCTGGCAATGCAGTCCCCAAGACCAGGGACAAGTAAACCTCAATACCATAATACTGTGCAAGGTCTATGGAAGTACATTTTAGAATTAGAAAAGACAGTTCTTTACATACACGCCACTACATCATTTAATTTTTTGATCACATAGAACAGCCCTTTCCAGGATGTCGTCAACTTGAGTGAAATCCCTCGACTACGTTCATGTTCCATAACCGTGCTTCGAACCTGTGCATTGATATTTCATGGTGAAGTGATGCGCGTCCTTGACTTGAAGATCTTCCAGGTACTGCTTACGGGGAAAGCGTGTTCGGCTGTCTTTCGAAATGCTGGTAACAGACTAGATGAAAATCTTGGCCAAAAATTATTCGCGATGGAGAAATCCTAGTGCTTTCATGAACGGCACTTCGCTTGGTTCCAGTCGCGGCTCTGGAACAAAGCGGTATATCCAATATTGTTCTATTAATCTCTCCACTGTGACGTCTGACTGCGATGTAAAGGAGTGGTTTGAGTCTTTGTCATGCCAAGAATATTACACAGTTGTTTAAATACAGAACAGGTGAAGTGTGTCTTGTCCATTCACCATGAAATTTTTGTCTGTGTGTCAAAACATTTTAGAACTGTTATTATTGCTGCTTATGCTCACTTGTCTGACGTAGTCACCCCAAGCCCACGAAATTCCTCGTGGTAAGGAGAGCAAGATTACTCCGTTAGCAAAAGCCTTGTGTATCTAACAGGTGACAGAGCGATTTGGCTTAGCTCCGACCCCAATTTTGATGGAGAGCACCCTGAGGGGGGACGGGTCTGAGGGTCTCTCATCTCTCTCCTCTCTCCTCTTCCACCAAACCACATGAGAAGACTTTCGGCTTGCCGCATATTTAGAGTGCCAGCATACCTCACCGACACTATACATTTTCATTTACAAGCGTTTATGCCTTCTCCGGGATTCGAGCATGGGCCCTTAGGCACGGCAGTCAGTGACGCTAACCACTATACCGGTTGCATACCGGTTAGGCAGCTTTTTAGAACTGCCCTAGTAGTTTTGGAGACGACGTATCTGAACGAAATCACGAATATTTAGACTATTTTAATGAAAAAACGCTAGACATATATTCAAGAATAAAATAATTAAAGAATTTGTCTCAAGTTAAATTTACAAAAACAAAAACAAGTTGTTGTCATTTGTCTAGACTTTAGATGACAAATTTAAAGCTGGAATTTGGCAATACCATTGAGATGTTTGCATAAGGAAGTTTGTATAGTAGTTAGTGAAATAAATCGGACGGAGTTGTGTCATGAAAAAATGTAAACATTGACAATTTTATCTAAATTTAGAAAAAATTGCGGGATTACGCCAATCAGATTTTCATGATGGTAATATGACATTATTCAGAAGATGAAATATTTACTTGTAAGTTTCTAAGTAGTGTATACACCCATTTTTTTTTAATAGTTATCTATTTTACTTGCTTCTGATGTAACAGGCAAAGTATTTTTTTAAAAGCAATATTTTCAAGGATGATAACATTGTGAATTTGTAAAAAGTTTTATTATTTTAACATATAATGTACATTTTATATAACTTACATATTATATAATACGTTTAACATTTTAGGGCAGTTTTTTTTTTTTTTTTTTAAATTTGATAATGAAACCATAATTTATGACTCTAAAATTTTCGTAAAACTATTTTATATAGATATAGAGCGTATAAATGCTTAATGTAAGTTTATGTAATGATTTAAAAGTCTTGGATGTGAATCAAATAATTACCTGTCAGGCATTTAAAACAACTTTTATCATTACTTCATTTCTAAGTTATATTCTGCCTCATTATAAGTTTGTTCTTTGACATATTAAAAGTTTATGTACGCCGTAGTAAAAATATAAAATCGGTGATTTCATTAATAAGATGCAGTGTGGTCTAAGAAATTCACGGCAGTTATATAATTACAAATTATTTTCTGCTGGGAAATTTTTTTTAATGAAATTCCTTTTTTTTTCAAAACTAACTTTAGGCATATTTTCGTCATCTTAGCAGGTTTGTTATAGCTGATTCAGCAGTAATATAGTTAGCATTTTAAATTTCTATTTAGCAAGAATTTTAAGATGTAATGAAAATATATAGCTGATTCAGCAGTAATATAGTTAGCATTTTAAATTTCTATTTAGCAAGAATTTTAAGATGTAATGAAAATATAAGTGAATTCTGTGTAAAAATTAGTTTAAATCTGAGTTATTTTGATGTCTGAAAAGAGTTATAAATCAGTCTGTATGAATTGAGAATTAGTATATTTTTTATTCAAGTAAAATATGCATTTTTCAGAAAATAGTATGTAACAGATTTGGTTGATCTTTACATTATGGTAACTTGGTGATTTTTTGGCGAAAATTTGGCAATCAACTCTCCTACAGCAACCCTCTATTTTTTTTTCCCCGCCGCCATTTTGTCTTCACGAAGTAAAGACATGTTTCATTTCTTTTTATCTACTGAACACTTCTTCCAACAATCTACTAGCCGAATTACACTTATGCTAGAAATTTTATCAAACAAAACTGCTTAATCATGACAAATATTCACTGCAAAATTTGGAAAAAGTGCACAATATCATACTCCTTACGCGTTTTTCAAAATAACACATACACATAAACCATGTACACGCCGACTTATTTTTACTTAAAAAAACATTCCAGAATTGCACAAAAATGGCATTGCGCACACTCTTCACTATATCCATGTACACTGCTTTTTTCTCATAAATTAAAAAAATTTCACGAAAATACATGACAATTTTCTCAATCTTTAAAAAACCCGGTAAAAAGAACATATATGAAATTACCTGATCGCAAAAAAATATTTACCCTTTCCAAATATGAACATTTCCACATATAAAATAAATAAAATATCCAAAAACTTTTACCTCTAAATCATCTATTACATTATACACGTCACCAACGAATTCATACCGCAAGCATTACAAATACTTAGTATCAAATATTTAAATTATTTCCATGCACGTTTATTTCAACTTAAATGTATACCAAATTCCTACAAACATAAAATTCACAAAATAACTATCATTTAATTAAAATATAATTAAATTCAAAAACACTACTTAAAATATAAATGAGCACATACATTAAATTAATAAAAATTACCTTACAATCCTAATTACTTTAAACTAAATCATTGCTAATAACAATTTTCCCAATAATACCAAATTCCTTTCCACCTTACATTTAGAACAATGCATAAAAATAATATCCTCAAATAATTAAAAAATACTAACTTACCTAATCTTCTTCAGAATCTTGATTACGTGGCGGATACACTTTTCTAATTCATTCAATAAAATTATTGAAAGATTTTTTTTTTCTGCGAATTTTTCCTCCATACTTCCTCCGCTAAAAATAAAAGCAAACTTCTCTTTATCACAATGCCTAAATATCCATTTCGAATTCACTTTAGTTACGGCCATGGGATCCAAAAATTAAACAACACTGTTTCACACAACACAGAATAAAGCTAAATACAAAATTTCCACATTTTTTCCCGATTTCCCCCCTTTTCCGATTAAAGAACCGTAATTCGTCCATTAATATCACATGACATATCCCATGATCTCTCATTTCCCTCACGCAAAATAATGCGTAATCGGAACTGAGTACTGCTCACATTATTACCAAAGTCCCAGGTAGTAACCTTTATCGCCTCCAAAATGTCACCAAACTACCAGTTACCATATTGTAAAGATCAACCACAGATTTTTGTAAATCATAGAAATGATGGAGAAAGTGCAGAATCACCCACTGCTTGGCACGTTTTTAAGAATTGTACATACTCGGTATCCATGTACACATGATCTATTTTCACTTGAAAAAAAAATTCCAGAATTGCACAAAAATGGCATTGTGCATTCCCTTGACTTTAGCCATGTACACATCGACCTATTTTCACGTAAAAAGTCAAAGAAAATTGACAAAAATTCAATTCTTCTTACTCTTCTAAAAAGTGCCAAACAAATAAGTGGGCGATTTTACACTTTACCCAAAATTGTTTTGGCAAAATATTAATTTAAAACTGTTTAGTATGTAATAATAACTTAAATGCTAGGCTTTAGCAAAATAGGAAGATATATCATTATGTATAATTTAGAAGCATTTGCTATTATTATTACTTATTTTGAAGTATAAGTATATATACTTACCTATGAAAGTCTCTTCTGCATGATGTAAATTTCTATGCTTGCAACCATAAGGCAAAATATGTTAAAGAGGTAAATGGTGGTTAGTGAGTATTTCATTTTTTGGTAAAAATATATTTCAGAGTGCCCCTTTGGGCAAAAATTGGCAATTGGTCAGCAAGGCACAATTTTAAGATAGCTGCTACACAGAACCAAAATAGCAAGTCCAAGAATTGCACAGGCTCTGTGTCCATGTACGTAATGATTTATTTAAAAAAAAATCAGAGAATTGCACAAACTTGGCATTGCGCACTCCTGTTCCTTTGTCCATGTACACATCGATCTATTTTCACATAAAAAATCAGAAGAATGATGGTGTCATATAATGTTAAAACAAAGTTACTCCTCACCGAAATTGAACAAAATTTGTAGCCAATCGAAGTTCAATAAACTGCACTTTAAATCACACAATGAAATAGCAGAAAAAAGGAAATGCATGTTATCACACATACGCACTACAAAAGGAAAATTCAACTTACCATATTTAAAAATTTCTGTGTCTTCAGTCTGTGGCACATAAAATTACTTAACAGCATTGAAAAACTTTCTAAAATTATCTGAAGTATAATATACATACTGCCGTCACCACATAAATTCGCAAACTAAGTTTGTGAATTTAACAACTAATTAACCATTAACAGTGTAATTAACCCTGCAGTGGAGGAGCCAGTGTACAGAGTACGCCAATGCCTTTTTTTTTTTTTTTTTTTTTTTGCTGTAATTTCTAGACAAACCTTTCCTGAGCTTCCTCCCGTACCCTCCTAGAAAGTATGAGTGCAATGCACCTGGTATTTCTAGTCAGTCTGGTTTTCGCCTTCCTTCTGAAATCACTTATTATGAACATGTTGCGTAGGCGAACGCAGTACGCCGTTCCTTTAAATATGTACAGAAAGAATATTATTCCTCCTGAAGATTATTTGCGTGTTTTAGAAGAAGTCTCGGTTGATGAATACTCCGACAATTCGGAAAATGCATCTGATGTCGATGAACCGGAAGTCATCGAACATTCTGGTCATGAAAGTGACTCAGAAATTGAAGGAAATGTTTCTAAACATCCTTATTTTCCTTCCTCAAATCATGTTTCCCCAACAAATGACTATTTTAGTGATGTTGAAAATGATATGAGTGATTTAAAATATGAGGACTTTTTTGTAAAAACAATTTACAAAAAAGAAGAAAGTTGGAGGAAAGTTCCCCTAAAGAGCAAGTTCGCAAGAACGCCTCGAAAAAATTTGATGAAAAAAATATGCCCAACTGCCAAAACTTGTGACAATATAAATGATGAGCTTTCTGCTTTCCAGAAAATCATAAATACAGATATGATTGATGCTATCGTACAATATAAAAATATTTATCTCAAATGTAACAGGACTGCAGATGATCTCCAAAACATCTCAAAGAGAAGCATGTATGATACTAATAGAGCAGAAACTTTGGGCCTTTTTAGGCATTTTTTTCTTCTTAGGGTGCAAAAAAATGTCAAAACTCAATTTGGAGGAAGGATAGACAAAAGACGGTACTGGAATTGAAATTTTGCAAGGAGTCGTGGGTCTCAAGCGATTCAGAAACCTGTGTGTTGCTATTAGATTTGATGATAAAGGCACAAGGTATGTGCAAAGAAAAACTGATAAGCTTGCTGCACTAAGAGAATTTTTGGAATCTTTCAATCAGAACTGTCAAAACTTTTATACACCAGGTGACGAACTCACAATCAGCGAGAAGTTGGAACGTTTTCGCGTCAGATGCTCTTTTATTCAATTCACCCTTAACAAGCCCGCAAAGTACGGTCTGAAAATTTTTGCAGTTGTTGACTCACGAACGTTTTATACACTGAAGCTTGAAATTTACTGTGGCTATCAACCCCCAGGATCTTACGAGGCTTCTAATTCAAGTATCGACATTGTCAAAAGGCTAATTGGTGTGTACGAGGTTCGAACCCTAAACTAATGACCGATAAGTGGTATACAAGCTACCTGCTTGCTCAATATGTTCTTACCAAAGGTATAAATAACGCTTGTGGGCATGCTGAAAAAAAAAAATAAATAAATAAAAGGGAAATTTCAAATGAATTCCAGCCATCAAAAACAAGAGAAGTCAGCAGTTCACTGTTTGGTTTTCAAAAGGATATGACAATTTTTCATATGTAACGAAAAATAATAAGTGTGTACTTTACACGATGATGACAAAATTGACCATGGAGCGAATAAACCTCAAATAATCCTGGATTATAACAAATGTAAAGGCGGAGTTGATACTGTAGACCAACTTTGTAGTAATTTCACTGTTGCCATAGTATATTATTCAATTTATGTTTGTTTCATTATAAAATAGGGCACTTACATATTTTTCTGCTGGCCGTTTCTGACAAAGTTTCCAAACTTTGAGGTTTTAATAACAAGATGTCACAACATACTCATAAGATCTGCTGTGTAATGAATGAATCTCTCAGTAAGCCAGTTTAGCTTATGTAAAGAAGGACTACTATTTTTCTTTTCTTCTCTTGGATTTGAGAGAGCACGATTAACATTTTAAACTGTCTTCTATAGTAGTGTATAAGACTGGTTATACTAGTACACTATGTTTACAACTTTAAAAGTCTCTGGAGTTCAGTAAAATGGTGCAGCAAAAAATGTTACTTGGCCATGTGACACATTAAGGGAATTTTATGTTGGGCCTAATTTGCATTATTTTAAATGCCATTAGGGAATTTTGGCATTCATGATTATTGGCATAGGTTATGAATGAATTAGTTTATCAAATATTGTCATGAATTATCTTGTCAGGTAATCTCAAAGCTTGAGCTCCTGTATGTTTAATTTTATATATGTTATATCCATAATTTATTTGCTGAATATTTTATTAAATAAAGAATAATCTGCATCATCAAACTTCCACTAGAATAATTGGTGTGAATTTGGCGAATCTCCTCCATCTTAAATAGTCTATGAGAAAATATATGTTGGGGGTAGGGACATACTGAAATATTGAAAGCAAGTAATTGAAGTGTGTATGAATTTTTAAAGTAAAAATTAATTGAAATACTTGTGATATCAATTTACATTTAAATTTAGACTGATTTAAACTGAACATGATAGACACTATTAAATTTCTCATCTGCTGAGCAATTAAAAATACAGTAAGACCCCGCTTAAAGCTGTTTCGGTTTAGCGCTCTTTTATTTCAACCCGGGGATTCTCTGAAATTGTGCGCAGCGCTAGGTCTCCAAATAACATATCCGAAACAGTGTAGTTGTGTTTCTTGCTTTGTGGACGCATTTTTATCATTTGAAACATTTGTTGACATTATTGTAAGTTTAAATTTGTATAATATTATAACGATTAATACAGTGACAAATATTATGATCTTTAGTTTTTATCATGGGTGATAATAAAAAACAAGAAAAGAGAGCAACCAGAAAAAGCATTTCACTGGAAACTCAAATGCAAGTGATTAGAAGATTAGATTCTGGTGAACGTCAATCTCAAATTAGTGCTGCATTGATTTTGGCAACTTCAACAATAAGGACAATTCTTAAGAATAAAGAAAAAATACTGTCATCGGCAACTGCAACTACGTCAAGCTCTGCAACTAGAATTACCCGTTCTAGAAATAACATTATAGAGGAAATGGAAAAAAAAAAAACGACTGTCTATATGGATTGACGACGAAATTGAACACAATATGCCATTAAGCCAATCTATCATAATGCCTTCTTGACAAAAAGGCAGAAAATTGGAAACCCAGAAGAATAACTGAATGATGTGACTGAGAATTTTTATTTGTTTTTAAAAGTATATGCGTTTATATTGTTTTTTTATTTTGTAAGAAATAAATGTTTGATTTTATTTTTATTAAAAAAACATTATTAAATTTAATGGCTAACCATTTTTTATCCGTCTTCCCCTAACCCCATTATTTACATGTTAAGATAGCCTCGCTTAGCGCTGTTTCGCATTACGCTCTACTTCGATGGAACGTATCCCCCGCGTTAAGCGGGGTTTACTGTATATATTTTTTTAATGTATGAAGAATTTTGCTGTTTTTTAAAATTATCGCTTTTTATTAAATATGATAATTTAGAGTACAAATCTACTTTTACTAAAGGTTTTCATGTTTTTTCTTTCCTTGTAGGCATCTAAATTGACTATGCTTTTAAAGATCTTACCTGAATAAAATGTCTGATGCCATGTTGTTTAGATCCGAAGTTGAGAATAAACCAAGAAACAAGTGTTCAAAAGATCCTCAGGCCTCTCATAATTATGAAGTACCCCCAAAATCACCAAGGTACTTGAAAAAGAAGCGTGCCTCTCTCCATCAAGCAAGACGGCTTCATTGTCAACAATCACATAAAGACAAAATATGCAATTTTAAACACAAACATTCAGAAACTTGTGAAATGCCTTCAGAAATATTACAGACAGCAAATAAAATTTCCTTTAGTTCTATGGAAAGTAAAGGTGACCTTGATTTTTCTGTTATCAAAAGAGTCAGCATTTCTTCTCAGTGTATAATTCTCAATGAACTCAAGCGTAGCTTTAGTTTGCCAGTTATTTTAGAAGGATATACTAATAGTTCTGTTATTTTAAAGTATACCTCTCTACCAAATATTTCATTTAATACCTCTTCTATGCAGCTATATATAAAAACGGCACAGCATAAGGAGCACAATACTGTAAATAATAATTGCCAAAGTGATAGTGATTCAAGTGATTATGCTGGAAATGTTTGTACTTTTTCACGTCGAAGCAGTACTTCTACAGTTTGTGAAAGGAATAACAGCATTGACTCGGCATTTAGTTTAATTTCTATCATAGATATTAAAGAAATTGAGGAGGCAATTTATGCAGAAAACAGTGGCTTGTCAAATTCAGCTTGGAAGCCACAGCATGCAAGATCAAAATCTGATGCTTCTTGTAATTCTAATTTTACTGAAATAATAGAAGGTACTGAAGTTTTCTCATTGCCAAGTTCTTTATCTGATTGCACTGGTCCAAGAAAGAAGAGTATTTTTGAAGGTATTTAATATTTTTATATAAAAATATAGTTGTAGAAAATCTTACATAATGAGAATTCAGTATTCACTGTAATCACTGTAATCACCTGTGCAAATATGTAAAATGATGGCCTTGCTTAAACAAGTGACTAATTAGTTGATCTGATTTTTTTTTAATGTTAGGTGAAATTTTTTGTCATTTATTTTGTGTGATTATCTTATTTTAAATTTGGCCATATTGTTAAAATAATAATAATAAAAAAGAGAGGTATAATATTGAAGAAACATTGTGCAGAGGCCATACTATATAATTGGAATTTTTAGTAAAATATTAAGACCTAGATTTTGTATTACAGATTAGTTTCAAGGATAAATGTATATTCTTAAGTTTATTACATATTCTGTCACATTTTAGCAAATTGTAAAATTTTCTTTTTATCTGTAAGTTTAATAAATATGAGGGATGGGACATTAAGGGATACTCATAATAATATAAAAAATTATTCTCAGAATTTCTGATTTGTTTTCAAAACTGAAACCAGACCAGAGCATGACAGGATGACTTTAAGTCTTTGTTGAACTTTAAGTCTTTATCTAAAGCTTTTATCAGAGAGTAATTAAAATGTTTAGACATTAAATAAAATTTAAGCAACTGATTTTTATGAATATGGATATTATTATCCTCTAATATAGCTTATACGTATACATATTTTAAATTTATCCTAACTTTTTAAAAAATTGCAGTTTTTTCTATTGTTTGGTATGTTTGCTCAACACAGTTTCACTTTATATGCATTGATTGGCTGATTGACAGATAAATTAATTTGTCAATTAAATGCATTAAGTAAAGTTTTTCTGTACTGTACAAAGTCCAAAATCTTAAAGTGCAATATCAGGATCTATCTGGTTGTAACGAAAGATTTCCGCCAAAAAACGCGGAGGGGGGGACCATGAAAGCAGTTCTTTTAGTGTGGGTAGTAATCTATGATTTTCTGTCAACGTTTTGACTTGTTTTCAAAGCCTTCGGCCCAGAAGCTTGGTGGCCACGAGTCCAAAAACAGATCGACCTCATTTCAGACGTTCTATGCAGAATGTAAGATAGCATCAGTAAGATGTAGCTGCAGGTGTAAAAAAAGGTAGAAATCAGAAGGAGTGTTGTCGAGGCTATATGTTGGTTGTGGCAAAAGATCCCATTTGAGTCTGTACAGAGTCCAGCTGGTGAATGCAGATGCATGTGGTCTTGCATTATCTTGATGGAACAGTACCTTTTACCTTTTTGTACTGGAACTCAGTTTGATGTTTTTCCTTGATAGCAGCATCAACACGGACTAGCATTTCGTTGTATACCTAATGCATTGTCGAGGGTTTTACCTTTTTCCAGGTACTCTTTGTGTGGACAATGCCATGGCAATCTGGCGAGATGCAACGCATGGTCTTTTTGTTAATCAAATTGCACTTTGCAACGTTGCCAATGGGCTCATCGAGCTCAAACCAACCCTCTTTCTTGCCTGTGTTGTTGAAGAAAACCAACTTTTCATCACAAATGACGATCTGGCCCAGAATTTTGACCTCGTGTTGATATTCAAGCAAATTAGTTCAGGCCTGAACATGTCTATCCTTATCTGCTTGAGTCAGCTCATGCGGCACCCATTGATTGAGCTTATGCAATGCATAGCATGTCTAATGGACATTGAACTAATGTCTAACTCCTTAGCAAGCTCTCGAATGGTTGCATATTGATCTTCCACAATTTCTTGCAGGTGGGCCTCGGCCGTCTTGAGTGCTCTACTTCTTGAATGTCATAGTCCTTGTTTTTGAACTTTAGGTACTAAACTTTTCACGGCATCATATGATACAACAATAGTACTTAAAGCTCTATACATGATATGGTGATATTCTGCAGGTTGTTTCATAGATCATGGGACAAACTTGGAGGGGTGGTGGAGAGTACTAAAACATGCATTTTTTTAAAGGAAGGTAGGGTCTAAAGTGACGGGTTAAGGCAGGAATGCAAAACGACACGAAAGGAAAATGTGTTTATGTACAAAATCAACGCAAAGTGCTTCTTTGAAGCAATACAGTATTCACAATAAATGTTCAAAATTGCAACCACCAGCAGTAATATATGCTTGGTAACGTCGCAGAAGGGATAGACGAAAATTTTGAAAAACGACAGGCATTTTGCTTACACTTGCAGCCGCAGTGGATAGTCATGCAACGAGGTCCTTCAGTGAATCAGCGGAAGTCTCGTAAATGATGCTCTTCAGATGGCCCCATAAAAAAAAAAAAAAATCCAAGCTGGATAAATGTCGCGAATGGGTTGGCCGTCAGACGGGTCCACCACGGGCAATGCCTGGAAATGTCCCATCCAAGTAATGGAGCACCCACACATGGTTATGGGCTGGTGCATCATCATGCTGGAACCACATGCGATCACGAACGACAGCCGGAACATCCTGCAGCAATTCCGGTAGCACCTCTTGCAGAAAAATATAACATAAGCCATTTGAATGTGCAGGTAAGAGGTATGGACCTATAAGGTAGGCGTTAACAATATTTGCCCACACAGTGAGTTTGGAATGCATGTGGATGTGTGCCGTGTGGATTATGAGTTGCCCACACGTGCATGTTGTGGCTTTTGAAGATGCCGTCCTGTGAGAAAATTGCCTCATCTGTGAATAGCACATCTGATGGGGAATCCGCCTGCGCCACACACTGCTGCAAGAACCAAGGACAGAAATGATCTCGAAAAGGGTAAGCTGTCTCTTGCAAGGCTTGGACTCTCTGCAAATGGTATGGGTTCAAACTATTTTTCATGCAATATTCTCCAAACGGTGGAATAACTCAGCTGCAGACGACTTGCAATAGCTCTTTGCTTGTCTTAGGTGATCCATGCACAATGTTCAAGATGGATTCTTCAATGCGAGGTTTGTCGTGCACTTCTTCTTCCATTCCTAGTGTCAGAGGTGGCTTCAAATGACCCATTTTTACACAGAGACTGATGCAACCTCTCGAACATTGTGTGCTTTGGCATACGCCTGTTCGGAAACCATTCCTGGTACAACCGTAGCACTGCTCTGCAATTCCCCATTGGCAACACCATACATGAGATGCATGTCAGCCTTTCCTTATGTGTAAACTCACCCATCACGTTCGACATCAGAGTTGCGAATGATCCTCTGATGCATCAGATCGGGGTTTGTCCGGCTCACTACTGCCCTCTACAGCTGCATTGCCAGACAATCGCAGCTGTAGTTCCTATTACTGTTAGTGTTCCCTTTTTTGAACATTTATTGTGACTATATTGCTACAAAGAAGCACTTTGCGTTGATTTTGTACATAAACACATTTTCCTCTCTTGTCGTTTTTTTTGCGTTCCTGCCTTAAACCGTCACTTTAGACCCTACATTCCTATACAAAAAATGCATGTTTTAGTACACTCCACCACCCCTCCGAGTTTGTCCCATGATCTATGAAACACCCTGTATAGCTGACTTTTTGCAACAGAACTGGAAGTAAATGATTGTTCTAAATCTGGTAACAGGATAGTTCCATTTCAGACACCTTGTACTTAATGATAATGATATTTCTTTATAAATTTCACAACACAGTGCTCTAAAGCAAGTCTCTTTCTTTCAAATGCCAAAAATTGTTTGACAAATTATGATTAAGCACACGAGCGTGAAGCATTTGTGCGAACGATATTTGTGGTGGCGGGAAAATTTTCATTAAAACCTTATATTCAGATCTAATATCTAGATTTCCATTCAAATACATACAATAGAAGCACTTAGGGTAAAAAGCATTCAAATATATACAAAATAAATAAATAAAAAATTTGCCCTTGTACAAAGTATGGGAATGGAGAATATAACAATAGAAGCACTTAGGGTGCTGAAATGGATAAGATTCATGCATGCCACTTTCAAGCACTTTCTGTCTAGGGAGTTCCAACAGCCATAACATAGCTAGTAACAATGCATTGATTGAGGTTGTATTGATGTTGGCCAGAATCACACTTTCAGGGTTTGAGTGGTTGTGGCAAGGATGTGACTGCTTGGTGCTGCTCTAAATTCTAGAATTTTAAGGCTGCACTTGTTGCATCTACTCTGATGCCAAGCTCTGTGAGGGGGGGGAGTTAGCATTCTTACCTAAACCATAAGTGAAACTCCAATGTTGCTATGCACACATGTTATTTTACTAGATTTAAACTGGTGATCTAAAGTCTGGAATCACCGAAGTTTCGATGATCCTGGATCTTCTCTGTACTGTATTTAAAGAAAAAAGTAAAACTTTTATTAACAATCAGATTATTACATTATTATTAACACTGGTCAAGTTTCTGTTTTAGTGGAAAAGAATTTTGATGCAAAGTATTGCATACGGATATTCATAGATTTTTCTTTTTTAGTCAGTTGTACTGTAATTTGTTTTAAACACCTTAAAGAGTCATTAGTATTTTCAGTTAATATATAAAATCACTAATTCATGAAATTAAAAACTATATGCAGCATCATATCTTAGAAACTAATGGATGAGAATGGTTAATAAAAGCTAAAATCGGCATTATTATCCACATTCCGTGTGGGAAGTAAGTGATAAAAGCTGACTCATCTCCACCTTATCTTGGATTCCATGAAACTTGAGATCTAAAATTTATATTCTACACATCTTTGCACATAGCTGATTCTAAAAAATTTTAATTTGATAAAGCGTAAAATCCTTAATGTATTTGTCAAATTTGATCTTTCTGTTATTGATTAACAAACTGAGCAGTTTAAAAGTACTCAGCACATTTCTCAAAAATTCAAATCTTATTTTATTTTTAATAATATGTCTAATTAGTATAAAATCAATATACATTTATTTTACAAAAACTAATAAAAGATATTTCCAATGCTATATGTTATGCAACTAGGGCAAAATCATTAAAAAAGTTTTTATACTATTTTGCATAAAAAAAGATTGTCACAGTTGTTTTTAATTTTACTTTTAAAAAAAGTTTTATTTTGAAATATAAATGCTTCTTCCAGATGCTAACCAAATTGAGTTTTCTTTTTTAATTTTTTTTTTTTAACTGTAAGGAAGATTGGTTTGGCTTTCTTTAAAAATACTGAAAAATAATATATGACGACTTTCTACAATATAGACAAATAATCTTTTTTATATTGTATAAGTATAGCAAATTATCATTGTCAAATTTTCTCTAGAAATAAAATTTGGCTTTTTGTTGATTACCTATTTGAACACAGATAATAATACTGAAATTATTTAACTGTAAAAAATAATTTAACAATATTCATAAGACTAATACTTTTGCGTATTTGTCTTAATGGAATGCACTGAACTGCTGTTGCATCTGTTTGCTACTTTCATTTGAACATTAAAAAAACATTTCTAGGAAATCTGATTTATTTATTGTATTAAGAAATAGCTTAATATGTTGGTTTATGCGAACACATCCCAGAAATACATTCTCTCCTCCCTCTGTGAGACTGAGAGGCACAGCAAAATCTTTTTGCCAGTGGCATCAAATATCCTGGGTACTTACCCAAAACACATTGTTGATCACAAATGTTTTGGCCAAAAACCTTCTGTTTTAAACTGGTGCTGTTAGAAACTTGTTTCTTGGAAAAAGTTTCGAATAGCATCATGTGTTGCTGGATGTGGTAACCCTATTAGTCTGTTATTTCTAGATTTTTGGGGTTAAAAAAACTGCCTATAAATGCAAAATGTTTGTTAAAGTGACATAACTGTAGATGGAGGTTTGATTTTAAGGGAAGCTACCTGAAATTTGCTAATTTATTTGATATTCATGAAATCTGAAAATTCCATAAAATTCATGCAATAGTGTAGTTACGACCTTTCAATACCAGTAGTGATAATGTGACTGTGTGCTCCTCTATCTTAGTTTTGATCAAAGACATCCTATAACACGATATAATTACTATTACGATTAATACTATTATGATAAATGCGAATGATCTTATGTCTTTCTGGGTAAAAGAAGTATGTGATGGTTTTATATGTAAATATATTATGTGTATATATTATTTTACATATAAAACAATGTATATACAAATATATTTTACATGTAAATATAATAATGATACGGTATTTTTGTGAATCTTTGCCTTATTTTTGTTTTGTATTTATGGATTTAGCTGTCTTTTTATTTTTTAATTTAAGAAGTATTATAAACTACTGTTAAATTATGAATAGCTAAGGTTGGCTTTGTTGTATAGGATTTACTATTTGGTAATTCAAAATTTTTGAGTTTCAGCTTCTAGCAGCACATGGAACCAAAGTAAGAGAAGTACTATCTTGCACTCTTATCATACTGGATGACCAGTTTATGCACCATGCCATTTGTCGAGTCAATCATAATTTATTGAAAGAGCCTTTACCCAGTCTGAACATAGGAAGGATAGACAAATTAAAAGCTCTTTTTTGATTCTGTCTGTGGGTGGTGGTGCATGGTTGTTCAAGTTGGTGGAGTGATCTGTTTGATTAATTCCAATAATGAATGAGACTGTGGCCTACTAAATAGACATTCTGACCTTTTGAGTGAGACATTTTTCTTAGAGGAACAAGTGACATTAGCTGCATGAGACTGAGCAATAACAGGTCTTCGATGCCATTACATATCCACATGCAAGCTACATTAAAGGAATCAGCCTGTGCTTTTCCTGTCTGACAAGACAGGGAAAAGCACAGGCTGATTCCTGTTGTTGAATCTCTTTCATGTTGGGGCTTCTCAAGGCAAGGTTGACAATCAAAGACTTCTTAGCATATCTGCAGGCAGTTTGTCCTCCATGTTGTTGCTTCACTCCGCAAAAACATAATAAAAATTGAAACACTGTTTTTTTTTTGCATCTCCATCCCATGCAGTAAAGCCTCAATACCCACGAAGGCTAACCTCCCAGTGCTGATGCCGTGGAGAAAGAGTTGATTTTGAACTCCTGTCGAAAGCATAAACTAAAATTCCATGTGTGTGAAATAGATGAGCGGGCTGTTATAAGATAGCACCTGTCACCATATTTCCAAGGTGTGTGCTATCACTTGTGGATTCAAGTTGCATGCAGCTCAAATTTTTTATAAATGTAAAAAGACTACCTAGTTGATCCTGCCAGTAGTCATATGCTTTTCTCGGAAGATTAAGCCTCACATGGAAGTAATTACCATATGAAGGTGAAACTGCAAGTGGGTCATTAAATCAGTTATGGTTCCTTGAACCATAACTGATTTAATTGATAATCCTTGAAATTGGATAATTATGTCAATTCTAGTGCTCGTACATACAGCTGAGTTTTGACCCTCTGGGGACAAGTGCTTTTATGAGACTGAAACCATTTAGACATTTTGTCTGTATTATGTGGGAACTTTCTTCACAGTGTGATTTTAATGTTAATTTGGCCAACAAATGTTTAAGTTTACATACAAATAATGCATAATTTATTATACAAAATACATTAATTTAGAAGTAAAACAACAAAATACATAATTTATTTCTGCAAGGTAGAACATTTTTCTGGTAGTATTTTGAAAATAGTAAATAGTACCTTGAATAATAATGCTTGTTTTGGCTGAATACTTATTGCATTGTGGGTATTATTTTAAAATTTCAGCAAAGTCAAGTTTTTTAAAATTTTGTTATGTATAAATGCAAATTAAAAATTGAAAATTTATAATGTCATTATTTAATAACCTTAGGTAGACAAATTGTAGTGCCAACTGAATGTTTCTTTCCACGTCCACAACAAGGTCAAAGTTTGACTAGTTTTTTATCTTCAAATGAGTTCAATATTTCTGCTGAACTTGACAGGGTATGTAGTTTTTAAAATACTGTTTATACAATATACATTATAATGATATGAAATAGCTTTGTTAAATTTTTTCTGCTTTTTTACTGCTTAAAAAATCTTTGAAAATGAAATATTGTAAAAAATTACTAGAAAATATTTGATAATCATTTATGAATTTTGAAAATTTCTTGAAATGTTTAATATATTTTTAAGTGAAGGAAATAAAAACGAAATCAGCAGATATGTACTTTTTGCAAAGTTAGAGTTGTAGAATCTTGATAGATGTAAAGAAAATTTGAAGGGGGGTTATTTTAAAATTTAAAACATTTGCATTCTATTACCATTCATTAGATTTTTATTTGTTGTAAAATGAGGAACAGCTGGAGTCACAGTATTTTATTCAATTTTGCTAGAGAATTTATAATAATCAAATGAAAACTGCCTGGAAGATTAGCAAATTTTTAATTATAATGCCATGGACTGACATAAATTGAGGAGTTGTACAAATGCTGTGAAGATATCTGGATGGATATCAAGGGAGAACTAAATGAATTCCAATAGGTTATCAGTTTATTTAAATGACCTGGTAATTTGTCAAGCTCTGACTTTATCATGCATGAACATATATCACTGACTAAGAACTAGCAGACAACTTTAAACATCAGTTCTGTTTTGAAAAACATTGGGATATTTCTTTTGTCACTAAAAAAGACACACTGGCAGTCTGGCCAGCCCTAATTGATAAGCACCCATCATTTTATTTCTTAATTGGAACTGTTCAATATTAATTGCAACATATTTTTATAAGGAACCATTTGTTGGGAATGGCAGTTGAAATTCACGAATAAGTTAAAAAAATTTTTTTTGAATGTGTTATGGTTTGTGTATCATCATTTGTAACCAAATATTAACCCACTAGCACCCAGTGGTATAGTTTTAAATAGGCTAGATTAAGTAGCACTAAAACAATTTTAAATTACATTTTAATGCATTTTTAGCCCTTTCTTTACATTTATTGAGAAAATAGTAAAGTGTTGTAGGTAAATGAAGTTTTATTTGGTTATATTTAATCCTTATAGATGTAGCTATTTTGCTGTGATGCGAAATTCACACCCAAATAATGTTAATGTACTATAAATAGATTACTGGGTGTTCAAGGTTCTTTTCTTGTACTGTAAACCATACAATAATTGCTTTTTCATTCTTGTTTAAATTGAAAATATGATTAGAAAAATATTCACTAATGTGCAAGATGCCATTGAATACTTGTTAGAAAATTGAAGATGATTTTATTTTACTCCCTAAAGTTGACAAATTGGCTGACAAAGAAGAAACAGGCGATGATAATTTAAATGCTCCATTTATAAGGGATATTGCTGGAAAAGTTGAAATAATATTAGCAGATGATGAATCTAAAAAAATGGATTTGCCTTCAACATCTTAGAAAAAGTGCAAATATGATCTAGTGAGAAGAAGGAGAAAGTAGCAATCTCACAATGAAGTATAATAAATACTTACAACAGGGAGGGATAGATCATCATGATTGGTTGTTAGAAAAGCAAAGTATTGCAATTAGAGGTAAAAAATTGTATTAGTGCTTGCTCACGCAAACTGTTGACATGGTATTAGTGAATGCAAGCATTCTTTGAAATATCCAAAGATCTAATTCTGTGACAATGGAAGATATCTGAAGAAGTAACTGCAGCTGTAAAATATTTGAAATTGGGGATCAGAAGAAAATTTTTAAAGGTTGGCCTTACAACTTGCCTTCAGCCTCAAGCAGTATTAGTAATGAGATTTATGACAAGATCGATCATAGTATAGGCTGGTGAAATGCTGAAAGATGCTCCAATTTGCAGATTGTCAATCAAGACCTCTCACATTTTGTATATAATACTACTTTTTTTACCATTTTATATATTACATTTTATAAGTATTATATGTGTTTATTATGTATTTTCACTTTTCTTTAATGTACATGTATTTAACTGCTTTGTTTGCGCTTTCTCCTATTTTATTTCTTTTAACATGTTTGCTACCAACGAGTTATCTCATAGGTTGCTTGGCAGCAAACATGTTAAAAAAGCTTTTAGAAATTAAATGTCATATTTTAAGGGCTGCATTAATTATTGCATTTCATTATTATTGCACAAGTTATTTTTACATGCTTCTTAGAATTTTGAAATATGTGCATGTTTTTTTAAAGTGGTGCATTTTGCTTTTATTTATTCTTTCCTTTTTAAACATTCTTTTGAAGTACTACTAATTCGTCTGCTGTATGCTAAAAACATTTTACTTATGCCAGTGCCTAGCAATCTACTTTTAATACATAATTGTTTTTATAAAACTACTGGCTGTTTGGATAAATTTTGATTATAATATTAGGTGCTTCCTTATTATAATGGCCACCTAAAATTTAATTGCTATTCAATCGAGATGTAACATGTGGTGATGTATAAGAACACCTGGTGAAATATCTCAATTGATTAGCGATTCAATCTTGCGGGCCACTACAATAAGGAAGTACCTAACATTCATACTGAAGGCAAAATATCTCAGAATTCAATATTTTAATTCAGTTGTTCTCAGAAAAAATAATTTGGATGCTATTGGGGTAATTGTAAATGTGCCAGTAAATTATAACTCTGTTTACTTGGTTGGTTTTTTCTCTAAATATATGAAGCATACTCACATTTTTATTGCTTTGAGTCATTTATTGAGTCATTTATATTATCATTATTGAGTCATTTATCTAACTAATGACATTAAATAAATTTAGTATTTTTTTAAAAATTAGTATGGAGAACTTAAAAAATTTCTAGCTTTTAAAAAAATTAGGATTATTATTAATGCTTATGTTCATATCAAGAGAAATTATATAAGTTTTATCATGTGAATCTTATGTAATATGTTTAATCTAGAAAACTGTATATAAAAAGGAAAAGTATCCAGAAACTTGGCATTTTCATTTGACAAGTTTTACAGAAATTTGCATGTTCTTCTATAATAGGGCTATCAGATTGCATTCTATTCAGATTGTCATAGCACTATGGAAATTAAATCTGAAATTCTAAGATATCCAAATGCCATTTAAAAAAAGTGTCAAAATAATTTTATGAGAATATTTTTGAACTCGCATAATTTAAATGAAGTAAATAATTATAGTTTTGGTTAAAATGTAAAGGAGGGAATTATTGTTTTATTAAAAAATTGGCAGCTTTTCCTTATGCAGAAATAAATCAAAATTTTTCTTTGGACATAAGGAAAAGCTTAGGTCCAGTATTGAAACATTTTAATAGTGATGCATATTAATTTTTTTAAATATTAACAGGAAAATGCTCATTTTTGCATATCTGAAGCATTAATTGCTGCTATTGAGCATATGAAATGCTCTCAAGTGCAAAAGGTTGTTGAAGAGGAGGAAGAGAGTGATGAAGAAATTAGAAAACTAACTCAGAGGATACGTATTCGCAGACGAGAGAGGCAAAGAGAGGTAATTATTATTCAAGAGATGCATAAAATTCTTTTAATATTCAATTCTTGAATAAATAAATTTTTATTACTTGATATTGCAATTTATAATAAATAATACTGTTGCAAAATGTCCGGGCGCTGTCAGAAACCTTCCTTTCAAAGCAGGTTTAGGGTTGCCAGAAAATGGCAAGGGAACAATATTTTTATTTAAAAATATCAAGGAAAGTTTGTGGTTATGAATTCATTTTTTAGCAATTCAGAATAGATCCTGAATAAACATAATTTTTTTGGGAGTCATTGAACATTGTTTATTAACTTTTTTAATTGCCAAAGTGCCTCAGTCTATCATTTTATGTCTCTCAGAAGAAAGAAACTATAGGAAAATAATTAACATAGGGATTCATTACACATTGCTAATAAGTAACATATTTTAGATAAGTAAGCATTTATTACTTTGGACATGAATATACAGTGAAAGCCTGACTATCCATCATTCAGTTAACCAGAAAGCTCAAATAACCAAAATATTTTAGAATTTTAGGGAAAATTACTTAAATGAGAGATTTGTAACTCTGTTATATAGCTCATTGTATTATTAGCTCAAACATATTGTCATCAGACCATATTAGTACTCACACTTTAGTACTGAGGCACTAAAGTGTGCCCTCAATCAAACTAATTTACTTATTTCATCCAAACACAAATAGCCGACACTTCTTCAATTGAGATGCCACAGTTGTCACAACTTTTATCCAAGAGAAGAGGAGCAAAAGACTTGATGACAGAGATAAATTGACTTTCTCTCTTTTTTTTTTTCATTTGTATACGTTAAAATACAATGAAATCTTACACCAAGCTGATGCTGAATTTTTTTTAAACCCCTGAGAATTCAGATTTTTAATTGAAAATAACTCACAAATTTTACCATTTAGAAAATTTAAGTTCAGCTGGAATCGGTCATTTACTATTTAAGCTCCCGTGAATGAACTGGAACCGAATAATAAATTGCAAAGAATTTCTGGTGAAAGCAGAAAGCCATTCTTCCTGAGAAAAAATGCCTAAATCTTTGTTTTAAATTCAGAAATCAAAATTAAGAATGTTGCTCTTTCCTGATGATGGTCCTTACTCTTTGCAGAAATGTGAAACTCTCCTTTCCTTTACACAAAAAGAGAAGCCAACTCTACTTTTTGTGTTTTCCCTGTGAAATCCTTGAATCCTAAGTACTGAGATTAAAAGATTTAAAAATTCCAATAGTTCCATAATTAATTTAAATTTTTGATTAATTAATAATTGTGCTAATTTAAATTCTTATGAAGTTCTTATCAATTATACTTTGTGCAAGGTAATATTACTAGATTTATAGTCCAAAGGAAACATAGCACAAATAATAAATATCTACTATGCTTCAAATTCTGTCACTAAATATTAATGCAGTGAAATGGTAATGATTATAATGGGAAAAACAACATTACTTGTATTGAACTTCATCCAGGATGAAAAAAAGTGGTGTTACATGCTGGATTAATAGATCAAAGCTTTACTATACTTCCAGAGAAAATTTTATATTTATATAATCTTCCCCAAAATAGCATTTTTATATATTTATCTTTTACTTTTCAGAAAGCAGTGAAAAGTTTTATACTTCTCAGTGATGGTAAAACTGACAGTAAGTATGAGTTTCTTAAAATGATTTAAAATTATTGATTTCGCTAATTCTACCTGCATTTATGTTTAAAAAAAATTTAAATATGGTGAATTTACTTTTTTAATAATGTATTTTGGATTTTTTTCCTTTTTTAGCAACAACAAGTCAAAGTGCCTCTCCTCCTGTATCTTCTCACTCATCAGATTTTGAAGGTATTTGACTTTGTGTTAGAATAATTATAAAAGGTGTCACTCTTGTAAAATCAGAAGACATCTTAAATACTACTTTTAGTGAGTTATTATGTAATTTTAGATAATCTCATTTTTCTTAAATTTTTCAGCTTTCTGTTGAAAACCACATATGCAAATATTTTTTTTGTATGCTAAAGTTTGAACCCTTGTTTGAGTTTTAATAATGTCTTTTCTTAGTTATGAGTAGCTTGATAATTTTGTAATAACAGTGCACCAGTTATTCCAAACATAAATGTTGGCACAAAACCTAACTTGATGGTGGCAATATTAAAGATACATTAAGCTTCATAAAAAGAATAACTATTTTATATGTAATGAATATAATATATATGATGATTAATTTGTGTAATGCCAAGGCTATGCATGGAGCTGAATTTTTGCATTATCTTGCTGTTTTTGTAAGAGAAAAATATATCACTGTGTACATGGTTAGAAAAAATTTATTTTCTGCATATACACAGTCATCTATTTTCACTTAAAAAAATATCAGAATTGCACAATTGCAGCAATGCACACAGCTTCAACCTTGTGCACATTAAATGTTATATATATATATTAATATTTTATAGATGTTAATGACACAGTATAAATAGATTACTGCATTTGGCAATTGATGCCCCATTAACAGAAAAGTACTAGTAGTTTTATAATTTATTAAACATGAGGTTTTTTTTTAAAATTTAAGTTGCTGTTTAATTTCAAATCAAACACTGAATTCAGTAGTAATTATTGCTATGAATTGATAAATTATTAAAATGTTTCATGAAAATTAAAGGTGTTATGTTTACCTTTTATCACAATTTTATACCGTTAATGAAGTTTGCTGTAAGAGTCCCACAACACTTGCATTTGTAATAGGCCATAAAACTGAAAACTATGGCTTCAGTTTTTTACACATTGAGTATGTTCATTACGACATAATCCAAAAATTCTTTTCAAAAACTTTGTGTATAAATTAATCCATCAGCACATACAGGTACAGAAACAAATGAGTGGAACACCAGAAGTTCATTATTGGTCACGCGGCTGTAATTCCACTGCACTAATTGCACAGTTTCACTCCAATTTTGACTGAGAGCATCCTGGGAGGCAATCCAAGGGTCTCCTACTTCTCTTCTTCCATCAACTTATCAAGAAGACTTTTGGCTCGCAGTGTATTTTGAGTCCTCCCTTGTCGCACAGACACTATACGCTTACAAACATGCATGTTTTCTAAAGATAAGCTGTTTTTAAATATTTCCTGATTTTCTTTTCTTAATTTTATGTGGCACAAGTGCAAAGAAAAGTGATGTTGAATAATAAAGCTAAAAAGGCAAAACAGTAGGTTTAGTAAGGAGTGGGTCTGAGAGCAGATTAGTAACCTGCTATACTCAGCGAAAGTATAAAAGCCTTAACAAATTCTCTGGTGCAGTGTTAAAATATGAGTCCATTAAGAGTTTCTTTTCTTTTGCTTTTTTTTTAATAAATCCAGAAATATTTCAAAGCATAATGCAAATATATTGTGTATAATACTTAATAACCTACAATAAGGCATAATTTATATTTAGTTTATAGTTTTAACATGATTCCCTATCTCTCTCTCTTTTTTTTTTTTTTTTAGTTGATAGCATTGGGAGTGAAGATGAAGTTGAGGATATAGAACTTTCAGGTGATTTTCTTTCTTGTTATATAATCTCATGTACTACACATTTATGATAATTCTTCTTAAGCAAGCTGTTGTAAAGCAAAATTTGATCCTTATTTAAATTTCAGGCATTAGTGTGTATTCTCTGTAATAAATATTTGGTGGTTTAAAAAAATAATCTGGCTTTTATTGAAATTCTGAATAATACAATCTTATTCAGTAACAATTGATGAAAAAGCCCAGTTACTAATAAAGAACAAATAAAAAAAAAAAACTTACATTTAAAAAAGTGTAGAAATACTAAGACTTTCAAAATTGAAATTATGCTTGATTCTGTGGTGTAAAAAATTAGCAAAATTGTGTTTTTTGAACTCGTGCAACTATCACTAAACATAAATGAAAAGAGTAAGCAAGAATGTTTTTCTTATCTCTTGAGATATCCATACCTCAACTGTTGTGAAACAGATATTTCTGGTAATTGCAAGTATAACACTAAATACACTGTAGATAGTTTTATGCATTGGGGGGAGGGAGTTGTCTTTTTTATTTTTATAAAATGTATCAGAACATTTATTTATCATATTATTTTATAAAAATAAACAGTTTTATATTGAACATTCCTCCCTCAGTCCTTTTTAGCAAGATTAAATTTCAGATCTTTTTTGTTATAGCATAGTATGTGCCAAACAATTTTCTGTAAAGTTATATATGCGTCAGGTTAATTCTCCCAGTTGAAAAACATACAATTTGTCATTTGCTCAATTGGACTGTAGTAAAATTGTTCTAAATATTAGAAATATCTCTGTTAGGTTACTTATTTCAATAAACAAAGAATGAAATAGAATAACACATTTAAAAATATTCTTATTGACAATGACATTAGGATGATAGCTGTAGTAGGATCTTTCTGTAGAAAACTATTTAGCATGCATTGTACTTTAACAGAAAGGATTCCTGTTTTATCTTTAACATATATAATTTCAGTGTATTATAACTTAATGAATATTATTACTGCAATTAGATATATAAATAGGTAAAATATAAAAGAAAAATATGTCAAAATTTAATGTTATCTGTTCTGTCTTACTGAATTAAGATCTCTGAATAATTATTTGAAATACAAAAGGAATTTTGTATATTGAGATTGAGATTTTATTTCATTCTATTACTTTAGGGACTTAAAGGAAAATGCTTTTCATACATGATATATTATGTAAAGTTTAGTTTTAAAGTAGAATAGCTATGATAGCAAGAAATATTTGAAATCTTTACTAAGGCCCAGAAATGCCTTCTAAATCTGTCTGAGATAAATAAACATGCATGTTTTGCAGTTTGTTAAAATTTTTGTTTAATAATGTGATCAGTTGCTAATGATTACTCACAGTTTTTAAAATTATTTTATATTATAACAGTAGTGTTATACACTCAGAACACAAAATCAAATTTAAAAAAAAATGCTTAAGTGACTTTAAAACTCTGGCATGTGAAATAAGTATAAATATAGCAATATGAAATCCTTTTTCAGCTCACACTGAATCCAACCTTAGTTCCATGAAAGAGAACGGGTTATCTTTATCTATGGCATCTTTGTATTCTGGTAATTTATGCTTTTTTTTTTTTTTTTCTGTTTTTAAATAATATTATTTATTTATACCTGTTGAATAATATGCTTATTTTAATACTTGAGCAAATGTGTTACTTCAACTGTGTACCTTACAAGTCTAATTATTATTTGTCTGAAATTAATATTGCAGTAAATTTTTATTATTTAAGTCTGCAGAACTTTAAAGGGAAAACTGGCACAGCTAGACTTTTGAGTTTTTGCAAAAAAAATTGCGAAATTTTCTTTTTTCGATTGCTAGATTTTACCTAATTGAAGCATTGTGTAATGTACAGTGGTTGAATAAATATTAATGTTTAATTAAGTTTACATTAAATATTATTTAAGACATTATACTGGAATAGTTGTTACACAAGTAGTAATGAAAATTATTTTAATTATACATACTTATTTACTGTTTAAAGTAAAACATGCAATTTTAAAATTCTATAAGTAACTTAATAAAACATTTTGACTCTAACATATTTTTGGTTTTTAACGTCAAGTTGAATAACAGAAAAGGAATCTTTAACATTAATTTTGGTTTTTAGTTGATTTTAAAATCATTTTCATCATCCTCTGATTCTTGCATATCTTTTTGCATAGATAACAAATTAATAATATTTCAGAGATACATGAAATATTGAAATTTTTCTATGCTGGACTCTTATTAGCATTAATTATTGACTGTTATGAATTTTTAATTTCTTTTTTTGTGTAATTAACTATAATTTCTCTTGAAGCATCATTCCTTTACATTTCCAGAATCATCCAGAGAAAATTTCACTCATTTTTCTGTACGAAAAAGAAATTATAATTTATTTGCTATTGCATTGAAATATCAGAAAATTACTTGTTAGTTGATGTGGCAACTTAAATTAATTATGATTTTGTCCCAGGTCATGAATATTTTTAACAATCACATTCAGTGAGCTGGATTTGTTTTTGGAATATGTATTATCAGTTTTATCATTTATATTTTGTCATCCTGGTTTAGTATGCACATTGAAATATATATTTGGTTTTTCTTTTCAAAGTATACATGTTTTTCTTGTGTCGTACTATGTGTCCTCATTACCTTTCACTCAATGCAGTTGAGCTGTGAGATAGTTTTCGAAAATAAATGAGAAGAGAAAAAAAATCTGTATGCACATGCAGACTCAAAGTTTAAATAACTAGAGCAAATGAACAGGAAGACTTAAAATGTCATTCCCCATGAGATAAATAGCAACTCATATAGGTAAGTAATTGGCTTTAAATAGCTCAAGGAGAATGTGGAGATAAATTGGTCTTCTCCATAACATGTGAGGAATATTGAAAATTACCATCACAGAACGAAATCTAAAGCAGTGATCACCAAGTGAGGAATCCAGCAGTATAAAACATGCTAAGTGTCTCAACCCAACAATTGCTGCAGCTGTTTGGAACCTCCTGAGCTGCTGTCTCTAAGATTTGACTTCTTGAAAATTAAAATGACTGTTAAGTCTTATAACTTAATTAAAAAAAAAAATCTCCCATTCCACCTAATGATAACTGTGCTATGTTTTATGCTCTTCCTGAAATTTGCCGTGGGAATTTCTTTTTTTGCTCCATAGTTACTATGAACTTAAAATTTAGAAATTTAGAAGTGAACTAACTATGAACTTAGAAGCAACATCTTGTACTTTAGCCAAGTATTTGGTGTCTCGATTTTCACATTTGCTTTCTAACAACACTTAATTCTGTACAAAATTCTTTTGAAGTTATCGATAAACTTAATATTTCTTTCCTGAGCTTAATCAAGATTTCTTTCGATGTTTAATCATTCTTTAGTAATTTTTCAGCTAATGAAGCATTAAAATGACTTGAAATTAAACTTCAAAAATTCCATTTTATGCATACTGAAATTTAGCAGTTAATTTCTCTCATTAAAGTTTCTTTGAGTCAGATCCTTTTCCAAAATAATTGTTTTGCAATTGAAGAAGTAGCTGTGATTAATCCCCCCCAGTCCAGTATTTGTTGATGTTTACATGCACATATTTAAAAAACTATCTTTTTGGCTCTGAATTAGCTGTACTGATGATTTTCACACTTTTCAAAAGTTCAGTTCTGAAATTGAATCTGATAATTTCCTGCATATTCTTATTTTAATTATGCACAATGAATATGATCACCACATTTTAAGTTATTGTGGTACCACGCTATCGCACGGACTATTGAAACTTTTTTTCCTTGTGTGTGGCCTTCTAAATAAGGGTGCGTCTTATATGCTGTCAAATACGGTATTTTTTTTACAGTCTATTGGAAGAACAGTAAATGTTGAATAACTCCATAAGTTGACTATTATTAATAGTCAGCATCTAAGCCTGAAAATATTTTGGCCAAAAAGAATCCTTTAATAGTGTATAAAGTATTTCCTAAGAGAATATTTTCTATAAATTATAGTTTGTTGTATATAAATTTTGAAGATTAACATAAAATTTTATGAACTTAACAACTTTTATATTTATTTATTTATTTCCAAACATAACTTTTCATTTCATTTTTAGATGCTGATATTCATAAAGTGCCATTCCATCAAAAAGAAATTGACAATAAAAAGTATGATATATATATTTTTTAATTATGAATTTTCTGTTTCCAAGTAATATTAAATTAAATTTCAGTTTATTTCTTTTTGACTTGTAGGTTTCAAGATTCTGAAAATAGTAATAATTTATCAGCTGAATCTGTTGCACTGTCACTTTTAAGAAGGTTTTCTGAAAAACATCTTCCTAAAGCATCTGAACTGCAGTGGCTTGTATCTGAGCAAGAAGCACCTCAAAGGGTATTTATTTTAACAGTTTTCAAGATATAGAAATAAATGTTAGTAAAAATTAGATGTGGTCCATTTTTGCTCTATTTTGTTGAGTATTGATGTATTTAATGTTATAAATAAATAAATATAATCGATGTTGTGATCTGAATTCCCAGTTTTTATTTTAAACATGCTGTTTTTGTAATTTTTATGTTAAATAGAGTTTTAGATTTAATATTGCTAGAGTTTCCAGCACCCGGGGACAGCTAAAGAATTTGTACCCCATTCTGTGTGCCAAGAATGGAAAATATTTCATTAAAAAATTTCGTAGCATCAGTTTGCCGTCCCTTGGATGCTGCGCCCGAGACAGATGTTCCCCCCTTACCCTAGTCTTGTCTCAAAGTCTAGCGCCGAGTGCAATCAAGAAAGTCTTTAAGTGCATCATCAAGTTTTGTTTTAGACTGTGCTGAGTCGATACTCTTGTGTATCGTCGAGTGCATTGCGTGGAGAGTCTCGAGAGTATGTGGAGTTCCGAGAACGACCAAGCAGAGTTGGGAACTGTACTCAGGTGCTTTGCAGTGAAGCTGTTTCCACCGTTATTGCCTGACAGTGTGAAGGCTGTGTCGCTGAACGTGTCAGCGTGTTTATAACTGTTTGACGAGTGTAAAGGTGATTTTAAAGCTGTCTGATCAATATTGGTAAATAAATTGTGTTTCGATACTTCATCAAGTGTCATCGTTATTCACTCCAAATCTACAAAACCCGTACGAACGTGAAGGAAGAAAATAACGTAACAACTGGTGTCAGAAAAGAAATTACGTAACAATATACTAAAGCGAGATGCTATGTTCCGAGTTTAATTCTTTCTCTCTTTTTCAAAAACATTTCTTTAAAAAAATTACTGGTGGCCTGGAGGTTTGGATACTGGACATTTGGATTTTGGACTTTATACTGTATTTTTGATACAGTTTACTTGTTGTTAGGAATATGCTTCTAATATTTTGATAATTTACTATGTATCCAAATACTTGTAATGTACTTTTTGCATTTGTTCTTGTGTGTGTAATATTTTGTTACATTCTTTAACAATAGTTCTTTTTACAGCTTCTGCCTCTGCCTGATTCATTTCCTGTTTCACCTGATTCAATAGAAGAAGAGTACAACTTAGAAAATGTAATTTTATTTATAAAACTAAGTTTCTTTCCATATCTATAGTGCACCACAATTGTATTAAATCTAAATATCTTTTGTATATGTATTGTAAGGATCTTAAGTTTTACTAACGTTTATTTTATTTTAAATCTTTACTATCACTTCTTATTTTCTACTTCCGGCCAGAATTATAAGCGTGAAGGAGTTTATGCAAAGTTGTCTGGCGAACGCCAAGTATTTAAGTGTGGCCTTTTTGCCAAGAGAGAGAGAGGAAGCAGTGAGTTCGAAGCAGGCCGCTTACCTTAGAAGTTTACGCAGGTTGCTATTTGCCTTCCAGGCCAGAGTTTTTAATCCTCTTGATAAATTAAACGTATTGTAGTGTTCACAGTCTCTGTGCTACATACGCTTCCTGTTATTATAAGGCCAATCTTATTCTAAAGTTAAATTAGAGTTTAGTTTTATTTTGATATCTTTTACGTTATACCCCGAGTGGAGGGTCATTGTATTCCGAAGTACGGAAGTCATTGTATATAAAGAAAAATAAAGGGTTTTGTATACCCTTCGTCTGTGTCCTGTCTACTTACTACAATTAGTGAACATAGCTTTAGTAAGCTCTCTGTTCTAGTCAGGTCATTGTATGTTTCCGAAGAAGGTTAGAAGAAACATTGAACCTGATAGTATTGAATCTCACAGCCTTTATTTTCAGTGATAAAAGTATAGCTGGTGTTTACTAATTTGAATAAGCATATTTTACAGAAATAGTGTAATATTATAATATGCCATTAATATTGTTACACAAAGATAAATATTTAAATAGAATTTATTATTTAAAAAGAAGTATTTTGAATAAAATATATACAGTACTTGAAATCTTCTCAGGTGCAGAAATATCAGGAAGGCAACAGATGTTAACATTTCAAAAATTGTTATGGTAGTAAATATAGGGAAAGTGCTGAAGGTTTCTTTATTTTTCCACAGTCTGTTGATTTTCTGCCTTGCCCCTCCCAAAAAAAATTAAAAGTATGAATGATTAAAAAAATATTATTTGCCTAGAAAACAAAATTTTAAATTGTTTTTAAAAGTCATAATTGAATTTTATTAATCTCTGTAATAGCATTGGTTATTGTATTTGTCATTTTTATTTTTGAATGTTTAAGACTAATTTCTTGTAAAATGTATTCTGTGCATTAGTGATAACTGTTTTTAATAGTTGTTTGAGAAAGTCATTGTTTAAATGAAAAATATTTAAATTTAACATTTTTTATATTTCAGACTCGCTTGAGAGGTAATTTAGAATGGGCTCCACCTAGGCCGCAGATTATATTTATTATTCATCCTAATATAAAGTAAGATTTTTCTATAATAATTTACTTGCTTTTTACATTGAACTATACTGTATTATTCATAAGAGTAATCCAATTTCAGATTACTTTATATCTGTACAGATGACTAAATATATAAAATTTGCAAGCACAGTGGGACAAGTAGTGTTGAACACAGCGCAAAAAAAAGGACAGTTCTATATCTCTCGTTCTACTGGGCTAATTGATGAAACTCAAATTGCGTTTTTCATGTCTCGAAAGGGCGACTTTATATAGTGCAGGATATATGTTAGATTTATATATAGCATTTTCTAGCATAAGTATTTTGACACGAGTTTGGACTTTTTCTGAAATAAATAACAATTTTTTCCATATTTCGATTTTTACGATTCAAATTATGCCTAGATATTAAATTTTGTAATTTTTTATGAGAAATTTATGGTAAAATTAAAAAATTTATCTTGGCGCATTTTTTTTTTCAGTTTGCACCAGAAATGATTCACTTGGCGAACTTCTTAATTTATAGCAACCTATTTTTCTTTCCTTTTTTTCATTGTACAGGAATGGGAAAAAAGTCATCATTCATACTTTCAAATAATTTTAACAAAGTACATAAACCACATTTGCCTTTAGTATAGCTTATAACAAATATGCCAAATTCTAAAATGTGCCGATATGTAAATTCACGTATATCTTAGGAAATTTTGAATAAAAAAACTCCAATTTTTTGTAGGTATGCTTAGAAATACATCTACTTTAAGATGATGTATAGTTAAGCACCACTAACAGTGTAACAGTCATTGAGTTGATGTTTAAGGTGTGGACATCATTTGTGTTTATGAATTTTTGATTTTGTGTTTGTTGTTATTTTGATGTATTCAAAGTTTTAAAATTGTTTGAACAAGTTTAAAGGTATGTATTATTGCATAAAATTGTTATTACACATTTGCCTATCTCTCTCTCCCTCCCCTTTTTTTTTGTAAAAGTTACTAATATTTTTTAAAAAATTTGAATAAAAACAGTTAAAATTTTTTTAGTTATTTTTCCTATTTTATTTGATATCAATTCTAATGTGTTTTTGACTTTAAAAATACAAATAAAAATTCATGCATTTAAGGGTTAAGGAATATATTGCTTATCCCATGACTGAAAAGGATAGCTGCAGAGCACAAAATTTGTGCGCTATCTGCAAAAATGTCCAGCATGCAAGTAGAAGAATTTCAGAGTGTGCAGGAAAGAAGTGATGAAAAGAATGACACATAAATCTGAAATTAATGCATTTATTACATTGTGGTTTACATAGCTGGGAAGGAGAACGTTTTAGTAATGTCTATGTCAACACCATTTGTAGCTTAGGCTGTGTCAAGGCAATACTCTTATTCCACATATTTGAATAGCATAATGTTTAGTTACATACAGCATTACTAGAACCTAGTGTGACCTAGTGCTTTCTTTTTGGTAATTCAAGTGCATAAATCTAAGAAATCAAGTCTGCTGTGTGCTAATTTTTTTGGTGAAATAAACTTTTTGAGTTCTCCTTCCCAATTATGTAGACAAAAGTGCAATAAACACATTGATATCAGATATTTATGTCATTCTTTTCTATTCCATCTTTTACCATATACCCTGTACTCTCTACTGTAACGTTTTAGTGATATTTTAAAACTAAGAAATTTTCCTTTAATGTATATCAAATTGATATAATATTTATAGGTGCAAAATCATGCTGTTCTGGTTCATATCAGATTGTTATTTACATAATGCTGTACTTTTTGTAGCCAATCAATATGTCAGTGATTATATATAAGATAAAACATTGTTCGAAACTAAGTATATTTTTTTGTCAGTAAAACATTTTAAAATAAACTAAAATTAATTAATAATTTTTTTGTGCAGGAGGAAAGATATTTTAGCAAAACAAAAGTACAGATGTGCTGGATGTGGGATGAAAATTGAAAGACGTAAGAAAATATGTAAATTTAAAAATTATGTTTAAAATGTATTACATATAGTTCATGCATGTGTAATAAGTGAGCTGGTATAATTTACAAGAAGCTCTTTTCTTTTAGTATTTTGATTAAATGTACGTAACATGCTGCTATAAAAATTTTTGTTTTCAATAAAAATTGTTAACTTTATTATTATGAATAGAAATTGATTTCAAAGCATTTTTGTTTTTAAGATGTGATATTATTTTTACCTTGGCTTTCATTTTTATGTTTTGGCACATAGTACTTGTAAATACAGTTATTTAAACTTCTGGATTAGTTTATTCCTTATTAAAAAGGCTGGAATTGTATTACATGATTCATGAAGCTTTAATTTGAATGTTAATGCATTAATGGAATTTAATTTAGTTATGCTTACATTTATAATTGTAATGTATTTTGAAAGTCAGTGATGGATTTAAATGTTGAAAATAATGCAATATATAATGCAGAATTTTTATATGTATTTATTAAAGCATCAATACTCTTGTAAAGAAATTTAGTTTCAATTATTGTATTTAGTATTTTTTTTTTTTGACTAAATTAACTGTGACAAAATATGAAATAACAAGATATGGTAATCCTATGATATTTAGCAGTTTGTATGTATCAAGGATTTTCAACCAGTTCTTAATTTCAAAGGAGGAATGCATTCAGATTTGTATTTAGCTGTTAAATATTTAGTTTTAGTTTATGAATATAAAAAACTACTTTTGTTAAAGTTTTGGTATTTACCATCATTTTCTATACTTTTTGTCGTTTATTTTATGAAACATGTTTAAAAGTAATCTAATTAAATGTTTTAAAAAAAACGTATGATTTAAAAATGTAACAAAAATATGTTTATTCAACATTCAACATTTGCCAGTATAAGTGAGAAATAAGGATATTTAGCAGATATTTCATGCATTCACTAAGCGACCTTTATGAATGTTGATATTCACACGAGAATGTCAACATTTTTCAGATTTCGGTCTTTCATTGTAAAAAATATATATATGTATATAATGTTGTATGATCTTAAATTCTTTTAGTGCGAAATATATTTTTTACCATGATACATATATCATACAAAAATATATTATTTGTTGTTAGAAAATGCATATATGTTAAGTATATATATGTTCCATTAACATGTATATATGCTATTAGAAATCTATGAAAGGTGGCATTCTATGGAGTATTTAGGCATTTTATAGAATGCTGAAAACTGGAAGGCAATATATGAATTGATTAACATTTTACACATTTTCTAGACATTCTGTAGCATGCCAAATGACGAACCAGCAAAATGTGAAATAAATCTCAGAGTGAAATACAAAGTTCCTAAGTATGAAATATCATTGCATTAAAAAAGGAATGAAGTATAATTCAATATGTCATTCAAACGTACAAAAATGCAAGAACTAGATTAATTTTAATTCCTTTTTTATATGGAAATAGTGTGTTTTTGTTTTTTTTTAATAAGTAAGGCATACATTTTGTGTTGTGCAACTGATATTTTTCTTTACATATTTTGAATGAAAGTTTTTACTTTCCCTCCTTTATTATTTTTTCAAAATAACATTTCTATTTTTGAGCAATGCACATCTTTTAAACATTAGCCTTATCATGACCTTTTTTTTCATATTTAGCCTAAATAGCATTTGTCATTCTATAGAATGCTTAGGTATTATATACAATATCTAGCAAAAGTACATAATAATTCTAATTCCTTATAATTTTTGTTAAAATGCCAGGCATTTTTAAAAATACCTAGGTATTCTGTTTGAGACTACTTGATGTTCAGTGTGCACTTATTGCAGGATTGAAGGTATACAAAAGCATTAAAATAATTTAAAATTAAATAAGTTTTATTTATTATAAATTGATTACTAAGCAAAATAGAGAATAATATATTGAAATATGCTTAGTGAATTTTTCTCATTGTATTCTCTATTCTGAGCCTGATCATATTTGTTTGATTCAGGCAAATGTTACCGTACTTTTGACGTGCTTTGGTAGAAAGCATGATTTTTATTGTTCTGTTGTCCTTTGAATCTGTACTTTATGCTTTGCAGTATAAGTACAGTATTTCATTGCTGTTTCTTCCTAGAACTTAAGGCATGTTAGTCTATTATTTTCCTATGTAAAAGAGGAACAGAAAATATGGTATAAATATATAATGTTTTTCTTCTTTTTCATAATCAGATCCATCATAATAATTACATCTTTTAGAGCATTTTTTGAATGATTTTAGAACATGAAATAAATTACTTTGTGATCTGTTTTAGTAGTGTTGTTATGGTGCTTTTGACTTTTTTTTTCTGAAATAAAACCCTTTTTCTCATGCTTTTTAAAGTTGAGAATGCCCAGAATCATCAAAGGCTACGAGCTAGGTGAAAAGCTTATTAGTGCCACCTCATTTAATTTCTGGGTGTTGCATATCAATGCAACTTCTTTACAAACTGCCAGATTTTCGGAATGTGTCAAACTCTGGCAACCATGCATATAAAAATTCTTTGGTTATAGCAAATAGTAGGCAATGTTGCCATTTTCTCCCTGATAGCTGTTTCAGCTGTTTTTTAGATAAATCAGGATTTTTTTTGTTTTAAAGTCAATTATTAAATATGAGCTTTTAGTAGAGTCATTAGATTATTTTGAAGCAGGACAAATGTGCAAATGAGCAATGCCCTTGTCGGGACTCGAACCTGGACTTCTCGAATACGTGCCAAGTGTGCTACTCGTACTTCACAGAAGCATGCAAAAAGGAGGAAGAAAATACCTTATAATCCAATATACTTTTGGGGGGATAATTATCAGTAATTATTAGTCATAATTCTTTTCCTTCTGTAGAAGACTACAAAACTGCATCAAAGTATCAGTTTCTGACGGTGTTATTAATGTCGTAGTAGCAAGATGTAGTGGCCGTTGTCATGTAGTAAAATGTATTGTTTCACAACGAAATCTGTTCTTCTCTTCCTTATAAATCAATGAAAATGGGTTTTAAGATATGTACATTATAGTTTACCGTTCACTTGGGTAATGTTTGTTTTGGGTTGGCAGTGTCCACATGCCATAGCTGTAAGGGATACTCTGGCAATTACATGCTTCATTGATCACTTGAGTGCTACCATTTTTAAGTGTGCCTCTATCTCTGAAATACAGAAAGATGGCTAGGTATTTTGCGACCATGTATATGCTGTAAAATTTTAAATGTTTCATTATTTTTTTTTTTTTTGTATTATTCTTTATTGCTACATTTTCTTGGAGACTTCTTCCTTGGAGACTTTCACAACAAAATGTTCTAGGTGCTTTTACATAGCGTGACCAAAGGCCATGGCTATCCAGCTGTAGATTCAGACTCATCAATACATGTTCTTTGCAAAATCCAATACACAGTTGTCACATCAAAAAAAGAAATGGAAAAAGGGGGGGGGACAGAGGCAATCCTGAAACCTTTTAATCAGCCCTTGTAATGCATTTTTTATAACTTTATTTAATATTGTTTACAGCTTTCTGTATATATCAATCTTGCTATATTTATATACATAAATAGTGTGATAACACCATGCTCAGTACTATCTGTAGTTTCATGTAGCTGCTTTAAACGTTACCCATGGATGTGGAAGCCCTAATCATATTTTGTAAAATTACATTGCATTTAAAATGGATTAATTTATTTGTTAAAAACAATTTTTAAATGTGTTTGGCAACTTGGTGGTGGTTTAGCAATTAAGAGTGTATTGCATGGTGATCCAGGGAGTGGTTTGTGCATGTCATATGAAGTTTTGGATGTTTAAAAATACGTAACAGTTTGAATTCTCACTTTAAACCTTAGGTTCTACATCACGTTGTGGAGCCCTGGTACATTTCCTCATTGGTGGTGGAAAATGTTTTCGAGGTATCGAAAATCGCAATTCGATAACATTTAAAATTCCTTGTAAATGCTATAGCAGTAAAAAAGTATGATGTCTGAGCAATTTTATAATATATTAGGTTTTACCAAATTATAAGTTTTTATTTCGGAAATAAGTTTTGATACTCTTTGCTTTATTCTATAATAAAATGTATAGTTTTTTTTCATTTAAATTTTGTAATATATTAAAAAATACTTTAAAATCTTTTCAGATTATATTGACAGATTTCGTTACTGTGATTATTTTGGGAAGTACTTTTGCCAGTGCTGCCACAATAACAGCTTAGCATACATTCCTGGACGAATTCTCTGGAAATGGGATTTTACTAAATATTATGTGTCCAAATTTGCCTGGGATCTTCTTGACCAGATGTTTTTAGATCCTCTGTTTAGTATTATTGACATTAATAATAATTTATACAAAAAAATTCGACAACTAGATGTTTGCCGTGCCTATAGAATGCAACTGTTTTATTTAAAGCATTTTATGAGAACATGTCGAAAAGCAGAAATGTAAGTATTCATCTACTTTACATTTGTTATTTTATACGTTTTATAGTTACCATGCTGCAATTTATTTGTTCAAGAAGAGATACTTTTTCATATCAAAATTTTTTTGTCAAAAGGAAAGAACATAGTATTTTACACCAATTTTTTTTTCTGTCAAAAGGCACAGGCCAAATGAATTACAGTGTGAGGACTAATTTTAAGATTTGTGTTAGTACAACAAACCATGTGGTTTATCGTCTTTAGTCAGTGTATTAATTTGCACTTTATATGTATTCAGTTTTAAAATACTACTAATTATTTTTTAATTATTGAGAGAAGTTCTATTATTTTGTTGCATATTAATCATTTTTTTATCTCAGTTTAGGTCAGTGTATATACAGATTTATATAAAAAATAATTTTACTTAGATTATGAAAGTACATTTTTTTTGAATTGATGTAAGATCATTGTTAACTATTATTAACATTGTTAATTCCTTCTAACATTTTTTGAAAAGTTTTCTTGTTTTATTAGAATGAATAGTATAAATTTAGGTTTAATTTTATCTTGATCTATTAACTATTCAGTGCCTTTTCCCCCTTAACTTTTTTATTAATATTATTTTTGAATAGATTAATTTTTGTTATACTTGTTCAGTACTTCCATTAAATATCTATTACAGTCAAAAGTCATTAATCCGGACTCGTCGGGACTTCGGCGATTCCGGATTATCGATTTTTCCGGATTATAGATCATCAGTTTAAATCTCGTAAGATGGCATGCAGAAATTCTAAAATTAAAATATGAAACCGTAATTTATGAAATAAAGAACAATTATGATCTAAAGGGTATTAAAATTTGCAAAAAGAAAAAGCTTAATATTTATTTGTTTACTTTATTAAACATTTCTTTCAATGTAAGTTGTTTAAGTTTTGCTTCATTTCATGTGATAATACTTTCTCTTTTAATTCTATTAAACAGATATATTTCTTGTTCAATTACAAAGTTCCGCGTTCAAGTCCTATAATTGCTGTGTTGAGAACACCGACTAATTTGTCAATCGAAATTTTTTCGTTTTCACTACCTAACCTGTCACTTTCTTCGCTATCGAAGCGAATTATGACGAGGAACTTGTTTTTTAATCATATCAAAGACGGAGCACATCCAGATGAAATACTAATTTGGTAAGGAATTACAAGCCAAATAAAATAAAAACATGCCCTGAAGATAAGGATAGTGCTGACAGATCAACTTCCAATTCATTACGCGCCCCGCTGCCGCGTTCCCCCCGCCGAGCAGCGTGAAATTGATAAACAGATTTCGGATTTCAAAACATACTTTCGCTTTAGATCCTTTACATTAAACAAATATATATCAGAAATTCTATTTGATATAATCGAAGTTAAGCTTACTTTTATACATTGCTCTTACAGTCTGCAAAAAATAATAAGCCGATCAATTCGAAAATTAAGGAACAACGCTATCATCAACATTAACTGAAATAGATAATTAGATAATTTTAGCTTATACGTCCATTATACATAAAACGCGCACACGAAAACGTATTCTGCACTGCGCACACTCATATGCGCAGTCGTAAAAGGTCTTACGCGCACGCGTTAACACCTATGCGCATGTGTCAACACGGCGCATGCGCAGAAAGTTTTTAGTTTTGAGGTCCGGATTATAGATCATTCCGAATTATGGGTGTCCGAATTAACGACTTTTGACTGTATAAAATGCAGCACAAAGTTTAAAATCTGAACATCCAGTATCTGAAATGATCTAATATCCATATCTTCGGGCCACCAAGGGGAAAAAAAATTCCCTTATATAAAGTCTAGGAAGGAGAATATAACACTCAAAAGCAGGTGTAACATAAAAGGGATTTTTCTCCCAACAAACTGACTTTCAGACTCCTGCTGTTAGATAATCAAAAACCATGGCCAATGACAATACATTGCTGTTGACATTAGTCACAAACACACTTTTGGCTCTTGAATGGTTGTGTGGGGGGGAGCATTTTAAAATGACCTAAATAATTAGCAAAGCCCCAAGACATTCCTTTGGAATAGGATGTCTCTCACAGCAAGTTCACTCTTCCGTAACTTTCTGATTGAAGCTGCTTATTATCTTGTTCTGTCTATTATTATGAATTTTATCAAAATTACACTTTTAGTAAATGGTTATGCTTCTATCATACTTTTCCCTTGAAACTATATATTCATTAATCAACTGGTGAATATTGGAATTTTGCAGACACTGAAAGTAAAAAGATATAAAGTAGCTTTTTAAAAACAGATGCACCAGTAAGATCACCCAAGAGTTCTAGAAATATTTTAATGTAAAATTTGATATGTGTGGGCATTACAAGATCATGAGAGGATGTGTTTGCAGATATTTTTGAAAATGCTTGGCATAATGTATATCTAACTACATTTAAAGCTCAACTATCTGGAATACTCAGGAAATGCCAAACTCTGAATGTGTGAAAATTCTGATTAGTTGAGCTCTTTTCTAACATGAATTCTATATATATAAAATGGAATTCATGTTAGAAAAGAGAAATGGGAAAATATTCTGCCCTAAAATTATAACTTAAAAAAAAAGGGGGGGGAGAAAAAGATCTTATTTGTTATCTACTAATATACCTGAACCCTACATTTAAAATTATATATGATTTAAAAAAATGTATTTATGTCTTATGAAAGCTAACATATTTCATAGGCCTCAAGCATGAAAATAGAACATCTGATCCAATTATGAATCCTACCATATATGAAAGTTCACAGAGATGTTGCTAGTCATTTTAGCAGTTTAAGAAGAAGATTGTTCTTTATTTAGTAAAATAATAGAGATACAAATTATGGATATAGCATTAGAAAACAACTTAAATTTCTTATCATAATTTTTCATCTTATGTGTCCATGGTTTATCTGTTTCCAAAGTTGCATATTGCTTTTTTATGCTCATTTGAGTATAAACTTTGAAAATACTTCATTTCGTGTAGTCCCAAATATTAATAATTTTTTTTTCAAAATGCAAGGATAAAATGGAATTTTTACAGCTTACGGAGAATTGATTTTACATCAAGCAAAATGAACTTGTGATTGTGTTTTGATGTCATGCATATTCATTTTTGGCTCAAAATCACATTGTTTAGTGCAATGTATGCATGTTTCTAGTATTATGAGTTATATTAGGGCATTACAAGTTTTTTTTAATATTGTTATTATTATTTTTTTTAAATTTTGAAATATTATCATAACTTGATTTTCACCGTTAGTTGAATGCTGTATAGTTAGGCTTTTGCAGTACCAAATTTTCTGATTGTGATGAAACCATGACTTTAAAGGTTTTTGGATATTATAAGTTAAAAGTGAAATTTTCCAATTAATAGAATAGTAAGAAGAAATGCCAATTAAAGATGATACAACTGAAGCCTTACATTGTGATGACAGTGCTACAGTATTTCAGTTAATGAAATAGCAAACATCTCTAGTATGCTTTTAAATCCAGAAAATATCACTATTTCTACATGCCATCTGTCTAGATTAAACTGATGATTTAAAATGTGAAAATTTCCAAAGTCTGGAATCATTGGGACTTCAACTTTTCTGGATCTCAGATCTTGACAATTTTGGATCTCAGTAATTTTTTACTGTTTACTATCTTGACTATGACATGTGAAAAAAAGAGATTGTTACAAATCACTGTGTTTGATATATATATATATAGAGAGAGAGAGAGATTTTGCATCCAGAATAGAAGTTGCATCTGTAAATTTTTTTAATTTACAAACAAAAACTGTAGCTGTTATGAAATTGAAAGTCTATAAAACTGAAATCGTATTTTTACCTCTTTGTGCAAAATAAAGGAAGTATTGTAATCTAAAAAATTTTAGGGTGTCATTTTCACCGTTATCGAATGCAATTTAATGATGTTTTTGCATGACATCTGTACGTAAGAACAGAATAAAGGACTCTTTTGGGTTGCAAAAAGGATTTAAATTGGATTCAGAAGAGATTTCTTCATGATGTCTGTACGTACATATGTATCTTGCATAACTCAAAAACGAGTAGCCTCAGAATGTTGAAATTTTGTATATAGGGCTACTATAACATGTACTTGTGCTCGTCCCTTTTTTCTTGCAATTGGCTGTACCAAAAGTATATAAATATATATATGTATATGTAACAAATGGTATGTAAATATGTATATGTAACAAACATTCTCTATTTGTAAAAAGCAAATTAAAGTTAATAAATTTAAATTAAATTTAATGCATTTATTTTTTAAATATATATATATATATAGTGTATACCCACTTTGTTACTCAGCTCTATGAGCTCAGTTTATTTTATTCTTATATGTTGGTAAATTATGTGTTTTTTGCTTTAAAAAGTTTGAATTATGTTGTTCTTATCTTTGGTTAAGTTTTTTATGCCTTTAGTTAAATCTGCATGGAATAGTTGTATAATTATCAATAATTTAAAAGTTGTTTAACTGAGGCTAAGTCTCTTTGTTTTACTATAGCAGCCATATTTGTTTACATTTTAAAATCTTAGTAGAATAATTAATTCAGTTTCTGCATCTTCTCTGTCTTGATGTTTTGCCAAATGGGACCAAAAGTAAACTTTCAGTTTTTTGCACTGAAAAATCTGCCTTCTTGCCCTCTGGCCGAATTGCTTGTTTTTACATAGAAACTCAAATTTTAATTATAAACATTTTTTTAAAAATTGTTTTAACTGTATTTGGTGTTTTATATTTTTCTATGTTTTTCAATTTTTAATAAAGATATTTTAAGGTTTTATGTATTTTTCCCTTGCTGCGAAGTGAGAACTGAATTAATTGAATAAGAAATATATTTCTAATGAAATTCGAGGAAATAAGTTTAAATGAAATGCAGCAAAAAATGCGTATAATATAATATTTTGTATAAGGAATTCATGTGGTCTACACATCAGATTTTTTCTTGTCTGAAAAGTTCAGTTAAATTTATATTCTCAGCTATTTTAATTGTGGGTGATGTATCTCAGCTTGTGCATGATGATGATGAAGTTGCTTTGATTCTGTAAAATTTCTATTTTGTTCTAATGTTACTGCAAGTTTACCTCAACTGGGGATTAATTCCAGCACCTCTCAATGTGCATATGAGTTCTGTATTAATGAAAGTTTATAAGTCATTGCCTTCTAAAAAGAAGGGTCCATCCAAACTATAGCAAATTTGATATCTTAATTAGAAATATAACATAACTGTCTTACAATTTGATTATCTTGATTAGAAGTATAACACTGTATAATCATTATTAATTAAAAAATATAACAAGTTTATCCCCATGAATTTATCTATCTCAAAATTTAATTTTATTTCTTAGGATTCATGCTGCTCTGGAGAAACAGCATCATCATATTTTATTTGAACCACATTTGTATTCTCTTAGTGATCTTGTTCAGGTAAATGTTGACATATATAATTTTATTTAAAGAAATAAATCCCTAATTTTTATTTTAGAATAAAATGTAAATGTTTAAAATTAAATGAATAATCATATAAAAATATTACCAAAAAGTGTTTCTTCGTATTTCTCTTAATTAATGGCATAATAAAGTAAATTTTAATCAATATTTTTTATATATTCTTTTTGCTCTATGTGTATGTTGTGTCGCTTCCGGGCACATATAAATGATTTTGTTTCAGAATAATGTGCAACATTTTAAATCATAAAATTTAAGCTGCATTAATCATTCCCAAAACAACAACTTTTTAAGTTCTACAAGTTCAATAAATGCTTTATAATTTTATTAAACAATAAATGCTCAATAATTTAATAATAACATTATAATCAGTCAACTGTTTATTTTGTGCTATTCATGTAACTTAGAGCTCTAAAACATTATCAGAAACATTGTGGTATGGAGTATCTTCTTAAATAATTAATTCTGTTTGTAGTTTTTAACATAATTCATATTTATTCTTAGAAATGCTACAAATGGTTTTTTGAGGGATGCTTTGATATGAATGTATTTGTACATAATTGATTCTACATAAACTGTCAAGAGATGAAAGAATCTCTTCTGATTTCTTTTATGGTGATAAAATTATTATATCAGTACATCAGATATTTAGGTACTTTTCCCTTTTGCTAGCGCAAAACTCGCCAAGCAGACTTTATTGGCGATAGTATACAATATACACATAAAAAGTTGTTAACAAATGTTAATTCTAAGAATTTTTAATTTTGAAGGAATACATATTTTAATATCATTTAAAATTTTGTAAAAAGCCAATAAATAAAGACAATAAATTTTGTAAAATAACATCAGTTTAAAAATTTACTATGCTTTCATAGTTCAACATCCTAATTTGCCAGTTCGTATCACGTGACCCCAAGTGATCTCATCTCACGTAAACTACGCTACAAAAATCTAATTCTCTCAGTAATTATCTACATTAATGTCAAGTTAAATCTTAATTTGGAATACAAGTTTAAATGCAAGAATTACTTCAATTCGTACAAATAGCTTATGTAAACCCGCAATGCTTTATTTCGCTAGTGTATTCTCTTTAGAATTGACGAATTTAACCCTTGACCTTACCTTTTCTATATTTTCGCCTTCGGTTGAGCATTGTGCTGACATTTTCATTAACTTAATTACCGTGAGTGGCCTTAGGGTATAAAATTGAACTATCTGGTAAAAATTCTATGTAATTATGTGCCAGTATTGAAAGAAACAATCAATCTAAGAATTGTCTGCGACTTGTTTTGAAAATGAGGTGTAAAAGGTTATCAGCGAGGATATTCCGTTTGGCATCAGTTGTACCATTATTGGCATCTTTATCGCCTGTGCTGGCAAAACGGAAAAGTACCAATATTTATTAGTAAAAGGTTCTAGTTTCCAGTAAGCAGAAACATAGCATGCTTTCAACCATTCTTGATTGATTTTTCAATAAAGTATACCCCTCCCATTAATCTTCAGATTGACATTGTGCTTTATAGCTTGTCATAAGCTTTTCTATCAATTTTATTTTGCAAAATATGTTCTCTGCTCTTTTCTTTAATAATTTAAAAATTATTAGTATAATCTATGTATTGCTAAAATAAAGTAATAAAGCAAAATATGAGTAGTGAACAATTATTATCCTGGGTGTAAGACAGCTCTTTGAAAAAGTGTGGTTTCTCTCAGATAGTTATGTTAACTGGAGTTATTATGGTGAGGTGAAATAGTTTTTCTTATACCTGAGTGTGAATTTTATTTTTCTCCTCTTTCTTTCAAGGTAAAGAATGGTGAGATGAGTAAGCATCTAAGTCAGCTCGTTAGCCATTGTTTAGAACATGTGAAACATTGTATATTGTGCCAAGCAAAAGGATTTGTATGTGAAATTTGTGGAAAGGATAAAGATATCATTTTCCCGTTTCAATTGGACAAAGTTGTATTATGTCAAGGTATGTCCTGTTTTGTTGATATCTGTATCAAGTTATGTAATAATTTTGTGTTCAGATTATAATGTTATTAAATTATTTCTTGCAGTTTGTGGTTCTTGTTTTCATAAACGCTGTTATAAGAATATAAAATGTCCCAAGTGTTTGCGTATTGAAGAGCGGTATGTGATGATGTTTTAATTATATTTTTAATTGTTGATTTTTTTTTTTAAATCTGTGAAGTAAGTTTAATATATTTTTTAAGTGCATTAGGCTAATATTTGTCTCAAGAAATATTATGCTGAGGTTTATTGAATGAAATGGTATTTTGATGATATTGAAACAATTTATATATTTTAAAAAATATTTGTAATTTTCTATGTATGCTCTGTAGACAAAATTTGAGATATTAATATTTTATGAAGTCATCAAATATGAATTGTATTTTGGAACTGCATAAATATTAATAAAAATTCTCTCTGTAATTTCAGTTTATAATTGACCCTTTAATTATGTAGCTGTGAGTTCAGTTTTGTTTATACTCTGATTTTTTTTCAATAAATGTATTGGACAATTATACACTCTACAGTTACTGAAAATTAAAAAAAAGTGTTATAAAATATATATAGATGTTAATCTGTTTTGTTACCATAAAATAGACAGAAATCTGTTATAAAAAGTAAAGATGTTCTATATTTTACTCTAAAAAGACTTGCAGATATCATACAGTAGTAGTGAAATATAAAGAAATATTGGGTTGATGCAAAAGTTCATTTAATTTTCAGAGATTCAAATTATGAGTAGATCTGATGCTATGGTGATTGTAATTTTCAGCCAATAAAATGTGTAAAAGCAGATAGCATATGAATACAACATGCTTGTAAGAGTAAATCATTTAGTAAAAAAAAAAAAAAAAAAAAAAAAAAGAGGGGGAAAAAAGCCATATTATTGGAAGAAAAAGTTTAATTGCTTTATGTGTACTGATGATTTTCAAACTTTTATTTTGTTATAGAACTTTTCATTTTTTTAAACTTCATTTTAGTAATGCATAAAATATTTGTAGTTTTTTTTTTTTTTTTTTGTTATCTACAGGGAAGTATTTATGTAGCTGTGAACCAGTTAGGTAATTTATCGTGCAAACAGGTGGTATAAATGTATGGTACAGTTGAATATAGTATAGTTCTTGAAATGTATTTACTCTTATCAGGAATTTTATATCTTGTAGCTTATGAATGCAGCGGATAGTAGACATATTATATGTGTCTATTATAGAATATATTGGGTATTGTTTATATATAGAATATACTGGGTATTGTTTATATATAGAATATATTGGGTATTGTTTATTGGGTAAGCTTTTGCTGAATGACAAACCATTAAATGTTCAGTTTTTTCAGGTGTTAAAAATTACATTTGGATTTTGAACTATGCAGGGTGTAACCCACATACTTCAGTGATCATTTGTAGGAGTATTGCAATTTGATATCTTTAGTGCATTTAGTTGCTTTGCATAAAATATTTTTTTAAGCTTGGGTTGTGATATTGCATAGACATGTTAAGGAATTGAATTGAAAAAAAAAAAAAAAAAAAACATATGTACTTTAAATATATTTTGAATTGCATAAAAGAATAAATCAACACGTATCTCATTTAGATTCTTTCTGAATAAGAAATATATATTTTAAACATCTTGCTAAATGTAAGTGGATATTTGCTCATTCATTAGTAATTAATAATATAAAACCCAAATAGCACACATTTTCTTAATTCTTCAATTTAATATTGATTTTGATACAAGTACTCTCACATGTGTTTATTTTTTTATTATTATTTTTTTATCTTTGGGAAATGCATTGTCAAAATTTGTTTACTTGCAGATATTTGTTTCTTAGTTGCTTGAATGTAATTTCAATGGCTAAGTTTTTTTAATACATGTTATATAAAATATTAAACTTAGATTTACAAAATTTGTAAATGAAGTTCATTATGACCACAACAAAAACTCTTTAAATATTAGGCAGCAAATTAAGTAACTGAAAAATGTTCAAGTCAGATAGAGTGTTGTTACATTTTGAAAACGTGTTTCATACTGTGTTTTTATCCTTTTAAAAAGTTTTATTGTAAACAACCTGTATTCACAATGTTATTTATTGTTATATTAAAAGTATTTATGAGAATTAAGTATTAATGCTAATTTAATGTTAATTGCAATTTTCCTTTATAGAAAGAAGTTGATTGTAAAAATGGAAAGTGATGAAGAATTTTCAAATTAAAAAGAAAATGGATCTGTGATGTGTATAAAAATACATTGTGTGATATTTTATTTTACATTGAAATATGTTTTAGATTCAGGTAATTTTTGTTGATATTTGGGTATATTTTAAAGGTTATAATTCGTGATCAAAGTGTTCTGATAATTCAAGATATTCTTAATGTTGTATTTCAGAAACTATCTCACTAGAGGTTGCACATTTAAATATGCAATTTTCTAATTACAGAATATCAATATATTACATTAAAAATTTTTTTATATGCAAAGTGAATTCTTTTTTAATTCATTTTTATATTATTTTCCATATTTTTTTGTCTGTTTATCTGTTTCATGAATGAAATTTAAAAAAGTGTTCTTAAATGGAACTAACTTTTGTAAAACCAGATATTGTAAACAGTTTTCCATGTTTTTAACATGTTTATGAAAAAATAAATCACTGATCACTCTGTGATTTTTTTCATTTGCATTCTTTGATTGTTTGCTAGTCAGCAATTATTCAATTTAAGTGATTGAGAAGTTGTTACTTGAAGGTATGCAATGTAAAAAAAAAAAAACCTACTTTTAGTGAATTGAAAGTCTGTAATATATTGTGGTTATATATTGAGAACATTAGGATTACATATAGGACAGAAAATAAAAGAAATGTATATCAGTATGTTTAATTCTTCAAAAAAGACTAAATGAGATATAATTTTGTGGGAACTCTTCTGTTATCAGGACCAAATTCAGAAGTGTATGTATGGGTATGTAAGCACATGAGTATGTGTGTATGTGCATATATATGTTTACACAGAGAGCTACATATACACATTTATGCATACATGATACATACATCCATACATCCATACATGCATACGTGATACATCAGTCCATTCATTCATACATGCATACATATATACATTTCTGGACCTGGTCCTGATAACAGAAAAGTACCATTTTGTGAAATAAGTTTCTTTTAATTTTATGATTGTTTTATAAATTTATTGTTTAACAATTTGATTGAACACAAATTAATCATTAAAAATCTGATGTGCTACTGTTTTCACTTATATGTTTTCACTTGTATAGTGTGTTTTATAGTATTCTGTGAGTGGGGATATGAAATTTGTGATGATGGATATTAATAATCTAGTCTAGGATTATTTGTTAAATCTTGCATTGGTTTTGCACATTGTAGATAGACTGTATATAAATCATGCAAATATTATTTTTAGTGAATTTGGAAAACAAAATGGTAATATATTAATGAAAATTTTAGAGTATAATTTATGTATAGCCTATCTATATTGTGAATATTATTTGTATGCTTTAAATTTTCTGATTAATTTTGGAGAAATGTTTTTAATACATATTCTTTAAAAAAGTTTTAGTGCTTTTATTTAAATATTATTTCATAAAATATAGAATTAAAATGATTAAACTTTGTGACTTATATAAGATCCTTCAAATATATGCATAGAGTATTTTGTGTTTTGCTGTTTTCTAACACTAACAGTGTCTTGCAGTAAAATGAATTTTATTATCATGCCCATATTTCTATTTAAAACCATATTAATCTTTTGGGATAAAGACCAAAATACCTGTAAGATCTTTAAAAAGATGGGATTTCTCACACCTAATGCTTTTCCCCTTTCAGAAAGCCCTTTGTTCTTTGCAGCAGTGGCTCTTGTATGTAGTTTGATTCATGCTTAGAAAGATGCATTTATTTCACAAAAGGAAGGGAAATGTAGGGATTATTGAACATTGACTAATTGCTAAATGGTTTTCCTAATGGAGGGAAAATTTAAAGGTTTTACATTGGACTACTCTGTGATACGCAGAAGAGAATGTATATTTCCATTATAGAAAAGGCCATTCTGTTTCTCTCTATGATAGCATATAGCTTAAAAAAAAAGTTTGAATTTTTAAATAATGATTGTAATTTTCTAAACTGTGTTTATGAACTGTTAATAAGAATTAAGTCTATTATATTTTTATATTAAAGTTATGGTATAAAACTCCTTTGCTATTTTATATATACGAGGGCTATCCAGAAAGTAGATTATGTTTTGGAATAAAAAAATAAACAAAGTATAGGAAACAAATTTTATTATATACAGATGAAAGCCACACTCAAATACTACTTTTCTACATAGTCACCATACAAATTAAGGCATTTATCGTAGCGATGTATGAGCTTGGAAATTCCTTCGTCGAAAAATTCGGCCGCCTGCGCCTTCAACCACTTCGTTACCTCTTCTTGCAGCTGTGCGTCGTCATCAAAACGCTGCATAGCCAGCCACTTCTTCATTGCTGGGAATAGGTGGAAGTCGCTCGGTGCCAGGTCGGGACTGTACGGCGGATGAGGAAACATCCCACTTAAAAGATTCAAGAATTTACGAGTGACATTTGCCGTGTGGGGCGGGCGTTGTCGTGAATCAACAAGATCTTAGAGCTCAACATTCCTCTGCGCTTGTTTTGAATTGCTCTTCTGAGTTTTTGGAGAATTTGGCAATACCTTTGAGAGTTTATTGTAGTGCCTCTTCCAGAAGTCCACCAAATTACACCTTTTCTGTCCCAAAAACAGTCGCCATCATCTTCCTTGCCGACATTTTTGCATGCATTTCTTGGGTTTTTGGGGAGAACTTGTGTGCCCCCCACTGCATTGATTGCAATTCGTTTCACAGTTCACATGTTTCACCCATGTTTCATCACCAGTACGATGCGATCGAGTAAAGAGTCACCATCCTTATGGTAAGCGTTCCAAAAAGTTCAACGCTGCAGCCATTCGCTGATTTTGTGTCCTCTGTCAAGATTTTTGGAATCCATCTTGCACAAAACTTGTGGTAACCAGCTTTTCGTGATGATTTCGTGCAACAAACTTCGCGAAATTTTTGGAAAACTCAAAAGAAGTTCCGTTATTGTGAAATTTCGATTTCACGGACTTTAGCATCGACTTTTTCGAGAATTCGGCGGTCACTATGCGGGGTCTCCCACTGATCTTCGTCGTGAACATTGGTTCGGCCATTTTGAAATCTTATGACCCAGACGCACTCCACCTTCAGTGATAATGTTGTCCCCATACACTTCACGAACTGCCGATATTTCTATCGGTTACAGTTTTTGCAGTCAGAAACCTTATTACTGAGCGCACCTCGCAGCTCGCGGGATTTTCAATTAATTTTGAAATGTCTCGCAGACATTTCAAACCATCACAGTATCTGAACGGAGCACAGCACGAACCTCTCACTAGCACGGCTAGATGCAGACTGAGTTGCACAACGCTCTGACCCCAAGATGGCCGCGCTAGCCCCGCCCCTAGCGGACACAGACGGAAACGTAATCTACTTCCTGGATGGCCCTCGTATTTGTAGTCTTAGATTTATCAACTCTAATTCGTATTTTTACTAAGACATCTGAAGTTTTTGTCGTAGAGTTTATGAATTGATTTTCTTAAGTCTAGAAAAATTCTTGATTTCCCAATGCAAATACTGCAGTAAATAGAAAAGTTACATACTATCAAATTTCCTCTAATTTTAATTTGTTTTGCTATATATGTTATAGAAAATATTCAAAATCTTAGAAAATTTTTCCATGTAAATTTTTTTGAACAAGTAGAATTTTACATTTCTATTTTACAAAAAATGAGCAAATAATATTATTTTTCAGCTATCATTAATAGAAGGAAAGTAATTTGATAAAATATTAATTTATTTATTAGTACAAAACTGCAGTGAGAAGTATCATATTTACGCATGAATACCCTTTGTCTTTTTTACTAATTTGAATGCCTTAATAAGAGAACATGTTTAACTGTATTATAAAAATCAGAACAGTTTTTTTTATAGCAAAAAGCTTTCAAATTGCAAGATGAAAACTCTTCAGTGTTTACAATTTTTAAAGAATGGAAAGGAAGTTACAATGCAGGTAGTTGCTGTCTTCAGTGCCTCGTAAAGCTTTCATACTTCTAAAGTCGGTTTTCTTTTTCATTTCAGCATATTACTATAAAACAAAGCAAATGAACTACATAAATATAACATATTTCAAACCAAAGCAAAATTCTTTTTATGATTTATGAATGTGATCATCGCAGTTTCTGAAATTGCAAGAGAGGTTAAAGATTGGGAAAACCAGAGCCTTAATTCAGAGACTGTTGAAAGAGGTAAGTAGTTAAGTTTCCAGGAATGTCAAACTTGACATTTTAACTCAAAAAAGACATTGGTGAACATCCAATGTGGACATCCCCATCCTTTGAAACAGGGAATACTATGCCCAATATAATGGATATCTCGGTCCCAAAAGATTAAATATATGTTTCAAAATTTTTATTTCCCTCATGCCTATTATATATAATTATATGGTATTAAGTGTTTGTCATTTTATCTTCTTTGTAATAAATAAATACTTAAAAGTAACCCCTCTTTCTTTCCTTTTTTAAATTATATTTTTAACTGATAATGGTATTTGATTTTAATTTATTTAATCAAAGCTAAAAGGTTAATTAAAAAAAGGAACAACATTGCATTCCTTCTAATGTAAATTGTATTTGCATTTAAATACTCCTCAAATATGTATATATTCTATGGAGCTTATATATTTATTAACCCCCTGAGTGACATGACTACCTTTATCCGATTATGAGATTTTTTGTCATATGGCTTATATTAGCTTATATTTTAAATATTTTGTTTTCTTATTTTCTTTAATGATGTAAATATCTTATGAATGGAGGTTTATGAAAATAGAGCCTTAAATAGGTAATTATGCAAATTTAGATAATAAATGCTGTTCAGATACAGATGAGCAGATAAAAAAAATCGTGTCACTCTGAGGGTTAATGTGCTTTTTAAAACACAGTTCTATGTATATTAATTATGCTTCAAGCATGGAGTTGATGACGTTGTGATATATGTGCAATGCAGTGATTTTACTAGTGTGAAGGATAAAAGAATAAAGAAATTTGATGACTGTATAGAATATATTTGATCTATTTTTTATGTACAAACTTCTTAAAAATGCTCAATATTACAGAAGTTCTTATTCTATATATTATATCAGAGAATGCCTAAGGTGTGCATTCTTATCCTTAATTTGTGCATTATAAAATAATTCATTGAAAATGCAATAATATTTTATTATAGTGAAGATTTTATAATTTAATATTTTGTAATCTCTGTCGGAATTGTAATGATTTATTTTTCTGTTATGATTATGCTTCTCTAAAATTCTTCATAAAGTTTCTACCTTTCTTTTTATCTTTATTTAAATGTAAGAGTCAATCTCTAAGCTAAAATTGTTGTCTCTTTTGACTAATAGATTGCAAAGGACCAAATAATTAAAGGATACAACAGATTAGCCTAGAAAATTGTTTCTTGTGCCAGTTATTAGCCATAAAAATTTACAAGTCCCTTTATATTTACTTTAAATGTATATTTACTGTATGGAATATTTTAGCTATGCAATTTTTTTAATATGTTTGAAACAGTTCCTAACGTACAGAAGATACAATTTCTAGAAATATATTTATTTAAATTATTATTAATATATTTCTATTTAAATATAAAGTAACTTTATTTATATGATGTAACCGGTTTCTTATAACTTGCAGCTTGTATATTCATATTTATGCATATTTATTTTTGTACTATTGTTAGCCAAGAGCAGTGATAGATGTGACAGTGCGAATTCAATAAAAAGGTTTATACGAAGGATTGTATAGCAAAATTATCATTTCACTTTGCACAACTTTATTTAACTTTGTTCAGTATATCATTTGGATATATTTAATGTCATGCTTTTAAAATGTTATAATTTTTAGAATAATTAATTTCTTGAATGCATCAAATGTATTTTCATTTCAATATATTTATAACTATTCTTAAAAAACAGTTAACATTAATTAATATATTGTTTCATAAAATTGAAATCTCTTCTTTTACATTACATGAGAAGTAGTATTTAGCTTGAGATTACATTTGTTATTTTGTATATGAAAATATTTATATATTCAGAATAAAATTAAATAAGCCATTATTCATTTAGTATTTATTTGTTATTAAATCAAAAATTTAAAATAAGGTGTAAATGAATTTGATTCTTTTAAGACTTCATGATTAAATATCCATTCTTAAAATAACTCACATATATAGGAATGTTCATGATAATTATGCATGCTTTTAAAACTGCAAATGTGCTGTATTGTTAGAGCCAATTCTCTCATCTTACTTGACATAATACAGATGTTAGTTAAATTATAAACTAATGTATTTTTTCTTCTAAAATATGAAAAATCAAAGCAAAGCTTATGTAAAATATAATACAGATGTTAGTTAAATTATAAACTAATGCATTTTTTCTTCTAAAATATGAAAAATCAAAGCAAAGCTTATGTAAAATTAAATTCAAGTGAGTAGTATTTCTGAGCTTTTTGTTAAAATAAATCATTTTAAGCTCTTTGTACAAATTAATGAAAAGCAATTTCTTTTGAATACAATTTTGCTTTGCATTTGCAGTATTAAACATGTCAGTGGCCACTATGTAGCAAATGATATAATCTTAGATTGCAAATATTTTTGTGTTTTGATTTATTTTGCATTATTTCAATAGTAGGAAAGACAGACATCATCAGAGTACTTTACTTAGTGTTACCATGTTTTGTAACATTGCAGTCGTATAGTAAAACTAGAAATGATAGACCTAAGCGACAATAACAGTTAACATAAATAAATAAAAATCTCTGTATAATTAATTTGTCATAGATTATAAAATGGTAATCTAAAACTTTTTTCTTCAACTAAAATATTCTCATACTTCAGAAGATTTGGAATTAATTAAATTTTCACTGGCAGGCAAATCGCAAGATATTTGTTTTGTTACTAGATAGTTACTCATTCTGATGGTAAATATTAGTGTATTTGATTATATTCAAGTAATTCTTAAAAATTTTGGTATAAATTATGTAGATTTTGACAAGATAAGATTGGAGTGGACATACTGAATTAAGGCAGACAAGGATTATCTGCTTATCTGGGGCAGAGATCTGTAAATGTAGTTATGTTATGCATGAGGAAAACCTCATAGCAGGTCCGAGGGCGAGTCGAATGAACCTGGTAGCATGAACCAATTCAAATATGAGGCTTTTACATATGTG